TTTATTGATCCCAATATAATAAATGGGCCATCTCTTCTTCTACTACCCTTTCCTAATGGCACAGCAGAATGATGTTAATTCACACTGTAATTTTTTTTTTTTTTTTAAAGAGATGGGGGTCTTGGTATGTTGCCCAGGCTGGCCTTGAACTCCTGGGCTCAAGCAGTCCTCTGCCTCTGCCTCAGCCTTCTGAGTAGCTAGGACACCAGACTTCACACTGTAATTATAGTGCCATTTCACCTGCTTGAAAATGCTAACTGCCTGGGCAAGAAATGCAGGCTGTTAGAGGAGGGTGAAATGGAACATTGCTTTCTAAACTAGCACAGATTTTTTATGAGGAAGAAATACAGAATAATTTAATATCTAATCAAAATAAAATATTACTAGTATTTCCTGAGACTGATTTCCTGTAAATAATATTTGCCACAGCACGTGTTAAAAATAACTTTGTATATAGCCACTATCTGCTATGCAGAACAAATTGTGGAAGTAACTATTGCATATACCTTGTTAAGGTGAAAAGCTGAAGCCCTAGTAACAGAAAATCCTATGCATCTCTCTTCCCATCCCAACTTCTTTTTGCAAGATGGTAATCTGGATAATATTTTAAGAGTGTTATCTTTTTTTCTACCATGAGCTGGGATTTATAGGGTTATTGACATCTGAGTAATGATTTAGGAGTATAGTATTCATTCACCTGGGCCATACTACTTGCATCTTAACCTTGTGCTATGGTTTGGTTACTTTTTCAGTTACACACTCATCCCTGGTCCTGATGGGTTAACTTTGGATACAGTTTCTTGATAGGGGAAAATATGAAGGGAGAAGAGTTTCTTTCATTACTTTTTTTTTTTTTTAAAAGTTCTTCACTCTTTGGGAAATGGCAGAATAATGTTTACAATCTGTAAAAAGCAAATATAAAGAAGCTTGCTCAGAAAGACACAAGTGTGGATGGAAAATGAAACCTTTTTCCTTCTAAAATATTAAGCTGAATGAAAAGCTTAAACTACCACTTTTTTCATCTGTATTCATTTCGCTTACCTTTTAAGAAATGCACAGAGGAGACTTTTAAGAGAAATTAATGAAACTTAATATAAAATCTGGTGAGAATTTTCATGGCATATAAATTTTTTGGCCGGGTGCGGTGGCTCACGCCTGTAATCCTAGCACTCTGGGAGGCTGAGGTGGGCAGATTGCTCAAGGTCAGGAGTTTAAAACCAGCCTGAGCAAGAGTGAGACCCCCGTCTAAGAAACTAATTGGCCAACTAATATATATATAGAAAAAATTACCCAGACATGGTGGCACATGCCTGTAGTCCCAGCTACTCGGGAGGATAAGGCAGGAGGATCACTTGAGCCCAGGAGATTGAGGTTGCTGTGAGCTAGGCTGACGCCATGGCACTCACTCTAGCCTGGGCAACAAAGTGAGACTCTTGTCTCAAAAAAAAAAAAAAAAAAAAAATGTAAAAAAAAAATTTTTTTTTTCCTTTTCTTCTCTAACTCTGTTGAAAGTACAAATGAGGGCCTTGAGGAAAGCTTGGCTTGGGAGAAGAGATTCAAATCCAGGTTCTAGCTTTCCTTTGAATGTTTATTCCAGAATAGTGGAATGTTAGGTCTTAAAGTGACATTAATGTTGTTCTAGTCTATTTCTCACGTTTTGTGAATGAGAGAAATGAGGTCTGTAGAGATTAAATGATTTGTTAGGGACTCAGTTGACAGAGAGTTGGGCTTAAATTTTGGTTTCCATTTCTAGTTTGTTTTTCCACTATATTCTCTTTCCCATTATAAGACTAAATTTCTTATGGATCTTGTCATATTTGCTTAGTAGACCAATATGAACAAATAGGAGCCAGTTATAACATTCGTAAAATAACAAAAGGACAACAAAGACATTTTAATTTTAATTTCATTCATTGAAACTTCTGAAAAAAATGAAGGCCAAGACTTTTAAAAATGTGATTTTTTATTATTATTATGTAATAAATATACAATTGCTTCTCTGACTTCTGGCTAAGATCAGAACCTTAACTTTCCTTAATACTGACTGCAGTATTGGTTTTCCTCTGTTGTAGGCTCTTAGAGGAGCTCATAGAGGAGCTGGGCAGAACTCACCTTGGTAACCCTGGAAACCAAGTGGATTTTCAAAAATTTCCTCATTATATATCATATATATATAGTCCTCTGGCATAGGTCGAAGTTTTTAAGTTAAGAGAAGACTCCAGTGTGTATTTGGCATGTGATTTTTGAAGGGGACAGAAGTATTGGAGTGTTTTTTCTTAAAGGCAATTAGACTTGCTGTTTTATTTGCTGATCATAGACTTGTAACTTTTTTTTACTCCATTTTCAAACTATTTTACATTCTTGTTGGAAGTATGCGATAACTTAATCTTATTGTGGTTTTTTCTGCATGACCCCACAACATGAATTAAAAAAGGACTGTGTATTGTCTTTAACATCATAAATAATTATGGCTCACATTCACTGATTACTTACTGAGTGTCAGACACTGTGCTAAGGTTTTCATGTGTATTTTAAAATTTAATCGTTGTATATCTCTATAGGAGAGATTATTATCTATATTTTATAATTGAAATTGAAACACAAAGAACTTGTTCATCATTACACAGCTAGTAAGAAGTATAGTAGGGGTTCAAACACATGCAGGTTTTTTTGGTTTAACTCCATTGCACTGCCTCTCAACTTAAAGATGTTACAGAGACACAGTATAAAGGACCCAGAACTTAACAAATAAAATAAGGGGTGATCATTCATGTTACAAAATGATTTAATGAGGGATTTCTTCTAAAAAGCAGGTTTCCAGGATGTGTGCACTCTATGTTTTCTGGTCAGAAACCCAGAGGGAGCCATCTCATTGGTGTGGGGACTTTTTGTCATTCCTTGTACCACCCAGTGAGTCACAGGGCAGCCCTTGGCTCAGTGGGCTATCCCTGATCCAGCTACTATCTTTTCTTTGCAAAGCATAGTCCAGCATTGCCCAGGGTAGGGAAGATTGTTGAGCTGAAAAAGGACGTTGGTTGGGGATGGTAGGTACCATGATGGATACATACAGGCAACTCTTCTGAGTATCTAAATGGTTATTCAATTTATATGCAACTTAAAAAATATATCTATTATATAAAACAAGAAATACAAAAGTTTCAAAATGTGCACATTATATTTTGAGTTATTTATCTACTTAATAATTATTTGTGAGGTAGTTATGACTTAGAGCCTCAAATCCATCTTTAATGTTTGAGGATGTTTATGGGCTTGTTAATGATCTTGAATATCCTGTTGTTGCATTTTAGATTGTATCATCATGTGACCTAGTTTTAAATTATTAATTCCATCTTAAGGATATTGCCAAGGTTGAAGTAAAGGGTTTTGTTGTTGTTTTTTAAGAATCTTAAATGGATGAGAAAAATGATCTTTATCACATTTCCTTTTCCTTTCAAATAATTTTCTTGTATAAAGAAAATGTAACGCTCATAGATACTATTTAGTTTTTTTAATGGATACTTTTTTAAAAACAGTAGTTTAAAAAGTTTATTGGAACAGCAGGGATATGTATGCAATTATCTGGGTGGGGAGAATTCTATTTTTGTGCTTCTCTTAGAGCTTCATTGAATTCACAGCCAAAAGTGATCACTATGTGATTAGAAATGTCTCTTTGTTCACACTTGCTGCTGGATGTTTTTTCACTTCTAGTTTTATGTTTTGAGTTAACTATTTTCTGAGTTGATCATGAAAAACTATGATGCATGAATACATGAAAGAATGAAGGTATTGTTACTAAAAATAAAGTGTCCATTTTTCTGAATTCTGGCCTTATTCAGCTTGTTAGGGTACAGACAGTTAGAGTTAAATCCTAAAATTTATTTTCTTGTGTGCATTTCATACATGAGAAAAGGTTTTGACTTATGTTCTCCTATTTGATATTCACAGAGGGCCAGGTAGTGGTAAAAATTTTAGGCTTTGTGGGCCATGTGGTCTCTCTTGCAGCTACTCAGCTTTGCCGTTATAGCATTGTGCCATAGACAATATGGGAGTAAATGAACTTGTCTCTTTTTCCATAAAAATATATTTTATGAGAACTGAAATTTGAATTTAACATAATTTTCATGTGCCACAAAATATTAGTATTCTTTTGATTTTTTTCAACCACTTAAAAATGTAAAAAACATTTTTAGATTATGGGCAGTATAAAAACTATAGCGAGACTTGTCTGTTGAGCTATATTTAGCTGGCCCTTGTGACTTTGCTGATTGCCTTCTCTTTTCTCCCCTTTCTTTTAACATCTATTGCCCTTATTATTTATTTTTTGTTTTGCTCATTTTGCTGCTTAATCATATATTTTCTTTATTAATGTGTCTGTCATTTAAGTTTTTAAAATTACATTTTAAACCTTGAAGAATAGGGGTCTATAATTTTGGACCCTTTCATGCCTTGCACATTTATAAAAGTTATATCTTAGTAAATATCTGGTTGAATTGGAGAGGAATAATATGTCATCCAAAAAACTTAGATAAGATATCTTAGGCTTAGATAAATTAATGGTAGACCAGAATTTGACCATATACTTTTCTTTTTATGCTAAGAAATATTCAGCAAGAACCAGTCTGCCTTAGACACTAACTACTTACCTATTGCAACAAGTTTTCACATACAGCTAAGATGATCTATGACAGAGATTTTTTTTTAATTAAAAAAATATTTTTTTAAGAGATGGGATCTTGCTCTTTTACCTAGGCTGGAGTGCAGTGGTCTGATCATAACAAACTACAACTTCAAATTCATGGGTTCAAGTGATCTTCTTGCCTCAGCCTCCCAAGTAGCAGGGGCTACAGGCGTGTGCCACTATGTTCAGCTAATTTTTTAAAAAAGTTTTTATACAGAAGGGATCTCATTATGTTGCCCAGGCTGCTCTCAAACTCCTGGCCTCAAGCCATCTTCCTACCTCAGCCTCCCAAAGTGCTAGGATTACAGGCATGAACCACTGTGCCTGGCTGAGATTTTTTTTTTAAGAAAAGATGAGTTGAAGGATCTCCAAGATAAACTTACAGATTCTTTGTACATATGATTACAAAGGGCTGTATTTTTCAATGACAGGTTAAAAATCAGACATTTCTCTCTTGTACATAAACTCTTACCTTTCTTTAAAATTATTATTTCACAAAAGTAAATTAATAGAATTGCACAATGAAATAAAGTTGAAGAATATACATGAAGTTTCTATCAAACTATGTGTTTAATGGAAACCAATGATTAAATCAAATCTTAAACTGGTGATTTCAACTAATTTGCTTGACAGAAATTGACAATTGAGTCAAGACAAAACAAAGATTAGAAATGTAAATGAAGAGCATATCTGACAATTAGAGGAAATACTTGTAGAGTTTCTTCCCTGACTAAACAAACATTTGAGCCTCTATAACTGCTATGGGGAGCCCAGACTAGTGAGAGAAGTGAACAATGATAGAGATATGCATCAGGTGCTGTAGGGGCACAGGAGGGCTATGACATTCAGCCTGAGTGGGTGAGGGGAGAGATTCCAAGAGGACTTACCTCTTGGAGAGGTGGTGTCTGAATTCCATTCCCCCCCTTAATAGCTTTTAAAATTACTTAACAATGCATAGTTGTTAAAAATAGTGAAACAGAAAGTATAAATCCTTGTTTATACTTTCTGCTTTCCAATTCTCATTCTTCAGAGTTATAGTTAATTGATTGGTAAATATGCTTCCAAATACTTTCCTATGCATAGGCCAACAGTTTTTTTTCTCCCACAAAATTGGGTTCAAATCATACATACAATTTTGTAGCTCACTTTTTTCCCCATGTAATACTCTATCATGTATATATTTCTGTGTTGGTAGCTATAGATGAACCTCATTTAAAAACTTGCTGCCTCACATGATAGGATGTATATACCATCATTTATTTACATTGTTTCCTATTTCCTATTGCAGGACATCTAGGTTTGCAGCCTGTTGTAAACAGTGGAGGAATATCCTTGTACAGATATATTTGTTCTCTTTTGTGCATTAAGTTTTAAATGATAAGCAGGTGAAGGGAGAGGATTAATGTGAGGGGGAAATGTTTTCTAGGCTAAGCAAACAATGTATAGTTTGGAGAACACTGCTGAAGAAAATGGCAAACTTTTAGTCAGAGAAGTATTTCTGTTTCAATGCTATGAAGGTGCAGCACCTCCCCTTTTCTTGAAACATAAGCTATAGGATCTCATAGGAATTTCTTTGCTGAATAATGTATAATTATTTTCATATTTTGGAAATTTAAAAACTTTTTAAAAAAAATAAATGTTACCAGATAGAGATAAAATTACAATGTGATAAAGTGACTATTCAGAGGTGAAGTGGGAGTTTTTGTTTTACTGTCTTTCCCTTTATTGTGTTGTCTAACTCAGAATATCTTACTCAGTGCTCAAAATACCTTTTTGTGTGTCTTGTCCCCCACTATCCAATCAAAACAAATTTGGGTTAATTCTTAAAATAGCTATTGGAAAATTGCTACTTTATTAAGTAGGTATGTGTAAATGGCATAGATGACTTAAAACAGATGAATTACATTTTGTTATATACTACTCTTTAGTATAAAACCTTATTATCCTTAAAGTGTTTTAGTTACTGCTGTTTTGTTTCAGACAAATTTCCAATTTTGGAATGTTGCCCTAGTGTGATAGTAAGTACTAACTAGTTTTATAATTTTATCATTCCCTTTTTTCAATGAGTACCTGACTTGTTTAATTTCTGCTTTTTACATAATCTAACCTTTGCTAATTTTTCTGTATTAAAATTATATTGTTAGAAGACATGAGGCTAAAATTCATCAGTGTTAGGTGCTGATTTTTAAAAAAAGGCTTTGGAAACAAAATGATGTATTAGACAAGAGTATTATCTTTCAGAGCTAGTTTTGAAAGTCAAAATCCTTCTTTTTGGTTGGGAACAATACTTTGCAGTTTGGTTGCATATGCTTTGTTGTCTAGAAATCTGATTCTTTGTAAGACTCAATTTTTAAATTTCTTATTCATTTAAAAAATACGTGCCAAATAGTTCCAATTAGTGTTATTAATTTGAATAATATTACTTCTTTGAGTAAATCAACCTAATGTGTTCACTCATTGTCCTAAACAATAATTGTATTATGAATTGCATTGTATGATTATGGAGTATTTATGCTTCATTCTAAGGTAATTATTACTTTATGTGAAGTGTAATTTTTAAGCATTCATGTGTGTAATTTTTGAAGAGTAAAATATACATTTGAACAAATGAAATAACTTTATATTTAATTTTTCTAGGGCTGCTTTAGAAGAAGTAGAAGGTGATGTGGCAGAATTGGAACTAAAACTTGATAAGGTAAATATTACATTTTTTACTTTTTAAAACATTTATTCTTGTTTTCCACAGATTGGTGGCTCATGTTTTTATCTCTATGAGGGAAAGCACTGCTATTATCTCAATTTTACACATGAGGAAATTAAGACTAGAGACATTAAATAGCTTGTTCAAAGTCTAATCTAAGTGCCAGAACAAGAATTTGAATCCATGTCTGACTTCAAAGCTCACTAAACATTCTTTGTATTGTTGGAAGCTTGTTTCTGTATTCTCCATCAAAAAGATGGCACCTGTGTTTTTTGATGCTTAATGGATTTCACACATAAACTAACCATTCTATAAATTTGAGTGACAGATTCAAATATGAATAAAATTTAAAATATTCGTTCCATTTTAAGCTAATACCAGAAATGTTTAATATATACTTAATAATTGATATGGTTATATTTTACATAAGGATAAATATACATTGATTCTACCCTTCTATTTTCCCTCCTCCCAAAGTTCCATAGTTACTTTTTTATTTCTCTGATTTGCGATCTTGATCCTTTATAAAATATACCTCTCCCAAATTCTTAAACTATAATCTATCATTTTTTCCTTTAGAACTATGGGGAGTTAGCATAGATGAGAACCTAAGAGAAACAAGAAATGCTTGTTATTGAAGGTAGTGGCATTGAAGGCCTAAAGACAGGGAGGGGTTGCCAGAAGCCTAGTTTAGTGATTTAACTGTGTGCAGGGCAAGTTCCACCTATAGTATCATTGTAAATCATGCCAGCAACAGGTTAAACTAGCTTGATGACTTAGCTTCTATTTATTTTGCTTATAATGTCTGTCACCAGTAGTTATATTCTTTCTGGTGAGTAATATTTTATGAGTGGCATTGCTCTACTGAGTTTAATTATTTATCCATTCTGCCAGGTGTTCTGGCATTGGAAGCATCATTCGTAGTTGCCATCCAGATAGAATTTCTGAAACTGTTGCATTGTCTCACTGGCATGCTTGCTCCCTGTTTGTTAAGCAGACACCATTTAAATCTCAGCTTATGTACTACTAAACTTTGGCTCTTTTTCTTGTATTACATTGTTTCTTAAATGTACTTCCCTTGAAACTATTATAATATTTGGTTTGTAGCATATCCTAGTAGTTAGGAGCACTAAGCCTGGAGCTGCCTGGGTTTGAATCTCCCTCTACAACTTACTAGTTGTATGGTCTTGGGCAAGCTCTTCAACCTTTCTGTGCCTCAGTTTCTTCATCTCCAAAATAGAGAAAATAAGAGTTTCTATGTATCTGTCTGATAGGGTTATTATGAGAATAAGGTGAAATAATACATATAGAGTGCTTAGCATGGTTCTTGGCACATGGTAAATTCTAAATAAACAGTAATGATGAAGACAGAGACTGTCTTTAAAAGGAAAAACCCCTCATTTGTGCACTTATTATATACAAAGTCCTGTGTTTTACTTATATAATTTCTAATCTTTACGACAATGTTGCAAAGTTGGTATTATTGCTAATTTGCACATGAAAAAATGTGAATTAGGGAGGATGTTGCTTATATAAGGATAGTCAGCAAGTGAGTTGTTTGTATTCCTATCAGCTGGCAAAGTATCACCTAGTAAAATATTGTTGAATGATCCAGGGCTACTATTAATAGTTTGATAATTTTGACTAACTTGACATTTAATCTTATTCTTAGGTACAAAATTTTCTTCTTCTTAGGTTTATCTTATTCGGTTATAATCTCATTCATCACTGTCATCTAATAAGGATTTTTTTTTTTTTTTTTTAAAGACACAGTCTTGCTCTGTTGCCTGGGCTAGAGTACCATGGCATCAGCCTAGCTCACAGCAACCTGAAACTCCTGGGCTCAAGTTTCAGGTTGGGCTGAAACCTGGGCTACAGCCTTCCAAGTAGTTTTGACTATAGGCACGTGCTGCTACACCAGGCTAATTTTTTCTATTTTTAGTAGAGATGGGGTCTTGATCTTGCTCAGGCTGGTCTCTAACTCCTGACCTCAAGCAATCCTCCTGCCTCATCCACCCAGAGTGCTAGGATTACAGGTGTTAGCCACCATGCCCGGCCACTCTCTCCCCTTGCTCCATTCCCCTTGCTAAGTCAGTTCTTCCACCCAGATAGTTGCAGAGAGTTTGTGTGTATGTATATATGGTTCTGCTATATGACCATTTCATTTTCTCCTGAGATAGTGACCTCTACTCCAATTCAGATACTTGTTTTCATGGCTGTATTCTATCCCTCATCACCATAGTTCTAATCTCTGAAATCTGGAATGCTGATAATCCTACTTTCTTACTTGATTATACAGTCCTTCTGGTTCTCAGCCTCGCTACTGCTTCAGTTTCAAGCTTACCTCTCGTCTTTCAATCTGTCTACTTGTGATATTTCAGATCACTTTTAACTTCACTTCAGAGTACTTATTTTTTTGTAATTTTTAAAAATTGAGACAAATTCACCTAACATAAAATCCACCATTTCAAAGGGTGGAGATTTTTAGTATAGTCACAGTGTTGTGCAGCCATCACTTATATCTAACTCCAAGATATTTCTGTCGCCCCAGAAAGAAACTCTGTACTTATTAGCAGTCATTCCCAATTTTCTCCTCCCTCTATCCACTGACAACCTAATCTACTTTCTGTCTCTGTGGATGTGCCTGTTCTGGAAATTTCATATAAATGGAATCATGCAATATTTGGCTTTTCGTGACTGGCTTCTTTCACTTAACATAATGTTTTTAAGGTTCATCCATGTTGTAGCATGTATTAGTGCTTCCTTTTTAGTGATGAATAACATGCCATTGTATGGATATACCACATTTTGTTTATTCATTCATCAGTTGGTAGACATTTGGGTTGTCTGTCTTTTTTGGTTATTATGAATAATGCTATGAGGGGCCCTTTCAATATACTGTTAATTTCACTACATCATTATTTCTCTTCAGAGACCTTTATTTCCCTTCTGTAACATCTACCTTTTAGAATGCTCACTGTCTTGTGTGATCATTTATGTTATTTGCTCCATAGCTGGGCTATAAAGCCCTACAGGAAATGTTATACAACTGTTTAGTGCAACCAAACGGAGCTACACATTCCTGGAATTCTTGATAAAAAGCAATTTTTTCTAAAACCCAATTAGGTTCTTCTCTTGTTCCCTTTAGCAGCTTTTCAATACTTTACTATTTTCTCAAAACTCACCACTTTGTTCTTCATTTTTAGCAGATGACCTTGTTTCTTCCTTCTGTTTAGTGGGAATGCCTTTATTTCTTGTTTCTAATCTAGAAACTTAACAGGATCTGTTCTTTGGTTTTTTCTCTTCCATTTGAGTGATAAGAGTATCTTTTATTTTTTTCTATGCAATTCCAAACCTTCTATCTGCTCAGGACTTTGCTTTAGCCATTTCTCTTCTTTCCCTTTTCAATCACCTCTTCTTATAAAGATGTTCAAATTTGATTTTTAAAAGGCAAAAGCAAACAACAAGAAAACCTCCACCTCTGACAAAGAAGCAAAATTCTTGATTCTATAATTACCATGTGCCAGTAACAGTTTGTGCCAAGATCTTTATGTGCATTATCTAACCCTCTTTATATGCTTTAGGTATCATATGGGAGAAGAAATTGAAGTATGTTGAGGTTAGGTTACTCAGGCTCACTTAGTTAAGTATGGCATTAAGATTTGAACCTCAGCACCCTGAGCTGAGAATACTGTGTTTTTAACCATGATGTTTTACTGTTAACCTGTTTCTCTCTTTCTGTTTTTGTGGAAACTTTCAATTTAATTATTATTATTATTATTTTTTTTTTGAGACAGAGTCTCGCTTTGTTGTCCAGGCTAGAGTGAGTGCCGTGGCGTCAGCCTAGCTCACAGCAACCTCAAACTCCTGGGCTTGAGTGATCCTTCTGCCTCAGCCTCCCGAGTAGCTGGGACTACAGGCATGCGCCACCATGCCCAGCTAATTTTTTATATATATATATCAGTTGGCCAATTAATTTCTTTCTATTTATAGTAGAGACGGGGTCTCGTTCTTGCTCAGGCTGGTTTTGAACTCCTGACCTTGAGCAATCCGTCCGCCTCGGCCTCCCAAGAGCTAGGATTACAGGCGTGAGCCACAGCGCCCGGTCCAATTTAATTATTTTTGAATTATTTAATATATTGAACAAGTAATACCACCTCTGTGGCACAAAATTCAAAGGCAAAAAAGTGTGTACTCAGTGAAAATTAGTCGTTTTCTAATCTCTTTCCTAGAAGAGTGCACTGCCTAGTTTCTTCTGTGTCCTTCCAGAAATTTTCTAAGTATATAAAATGACTCTCCTCATTCAAACAAAAATATTAGACTTGTTCTACATTGTGATTTTTCTCTTAATATATCTTGTGTGTTTTTGTTATTAACTATAAAGATGTCTTATGTTTAAATGACTGAATTGTATTATATGGACACATCATAATTTATTTATCTAGGTGTCTACTGATGGACACTTAGATTGCTGCCAATATTTTACTGTGACTATGATGAATAACTTTCCATGTGTCATTATGTGCAAATATATCTATATGATACATTTTTAAAAGTGAAACTGTTAAGTTAGAAGGTATGTGTGTTTTAAATTTTGATAGGTCTTGCTAAATTGCCTTCCTTATAAATTGTAGCAATTTATACTCCCAAAAAGAATATATGAGAGTGCCTGTTTCCTTATACCTACCCTCTCGAAAACAGCATGTTGTCAAACTTTTTGATCTTTGCTGTTCTGTAAAAAATAGTAATTTCTATTTCTTTTATTATGAGTGAGACTGAATATCTTTTCATGGGTTTAACACATTTGTACTTCCTTTTTTTGGAATAATTTGTACATGTCTATCACCCATTTTTTCTAGTGGATGGTTAGGTTTTCAAAATGATTTGTCTGTCTTTTCTTTTGGTAGAGAAATTAGTCCCTTGTGATTTGTTGCTAATATTGTTGTCTTTGTGTTTATTATTTTATCCTTACAAAAATGTTTTATTTTTATGTAGTTGAATTTATCAATTGCTTTTTTTCTATGGCTTTCAAGGTTTGCATTCTTCTCAGGCTTTTCCCACTTTGAGATTATTAAAACAACAACAATAACAACAACAACAACAAAAAACCCTTGGCCAGGCTGAGTGCAGTGGCTCATGCCTATAATCTTAGCACTTTGGGAGGCAGAAGCAGGAGGATTGCTTGAGCCCAGGAGTTTGAGGTTGCAGTGAGTGATGCCACTGCATTCTATCCCAGGCAAAAGAGCAAGACCCTATCTCAAAAAAACAAAAACAACTAACCAACCAACCAACCAACTGACCAAACAAACAAAAAACCCAAAAATAACCCCCAAAAGTCCTCTGCCAAGCACAATGGCTCATGCCTGTAATCTCAGCACTTTTGGCAAGCCAAGGATTGCTTAAGGCCAGGAGTTCAGGACCAGCCTTGGTAACATAGCTAGAGACCCTGTCTCTACAAAAAGTAAGAAAAATTAGCCAGGTGTGGTGGCATGTGCCTGTAGTCCCAGCTATTCATGAGGCTGAGGTGGGAGGATCACTTGAGCCCAGGAGTTTGAGGTTGCATTGAGCTATGATCATGCCATTGCATTCTACCTTGGGTGTCAGAGTGAGACCTGGTCTCTCTCTTTTTTTTAAATCTTCCTGTTTTTTTCTTAGTTTTCTGATTTCATTTTTTTATGTTTAAATCTTTATTCCATCTGAAATTAATTGTGAGGTTTTGGAATCTAACAGTTTCTCCTCCCTGCCCCTTATGGTTCTCCAGTGTCCCTGATGTCAGTTATTGGACGCTCCCCTCCCACACCCCACTGGCTGGAATATTACTTTAATCAAATACTATATATTTGTATCTGTTTTTTGAGTGTGTATTCTGTTCCATTGATCAGTTTGTTTATCCACATTCACTACCAGAGTTTAATTACTATATCTTTATAATATATTTTAATATCGCATAGAGCTAATGTTCCCTCCTTCAAAAAAAATTGTTTTTTGCTGTTCTTGCATGGTGGTTAGAATCAGTTTTTCTGGTAAGACATTATATTTTATTTTGTAAATAGCAAACTATTTAAAAGACTTATCTCTGCCAGCGTTTCTCATAGAACATTGGTCCTATGAGAATGCTTCCTCCAAATAAAATTACACAGTCAAATATTTTTGAGAAATGTTGTATGTTATACCTTCTCTCTTCAATGTACATTAATATGTCAAAAACTCTTAAAAGTTTAGCAGTATCTCATGTTGCCTTTTCCTGGAATCCTTCCCCTGGTCCCCACAGTCCTGGTTAGGCCTTCTTCCTTTGTTCACTCATGCATTTTTTTGTTGTAGCAGTTGTGTCTGTGTGCTGTAGAATTTATCTGCTTGTCAACTGGTTAGAATTAGAGCTTCTTGAGAGCAGAAATTATGTTTTTAATTTCTGTTTCTCTACGCCTTAGGGCAACAGTTTTAAGTTATACCCTTGGGATCCTTTAGGAGTTTTCTTATGTTTTTCTTGGCTCTTTATCCTCTTCTTGGTGTTCCCCTTTCCATCCCCCTCAGTGCTCTTTTCTCCATCTAGAGCAGTTTCACTTTTATCTGTTTTTTAATATTTGACATGGCACCCAAAATTTTGTTTAAAGAAAATGTTCTATGTCTTAATGAAAGAAAGAAAAGAGAGAAGGAAGAAGGAAAGGGGGAAAAAGTGGGAGGGAGGAAGGGAGAGATAGAGAAAGAAGAAAGGAAAAGAAAGAGAAAAGCTCAGTCCTAAGGCTTATGCAATGCCTAGAATAATAGGCATTGGAGAAATATTTTTTGGGTAAGTGGTTGATTAATCAGTTCAGACATCTGCTTTTGATAGACTGATTTTGAAATGATCAGCACAACTAATCTACCATACTAGTTTATTCTAAAACTTTCCTCCAGTATACTATAGTTAAAAAAAAAATTTAAATATCTTTTTATCATATGGCTTACTTATCCTTTTCTTCTAGGAGTTACTTAATAAATTTTTGTGGGGTTAATTTATGGGATTGAATCTGACTTGAAATGATTTCTTTTTGTTGTTGTTATCAGATAGCCTTTGGATCCTAAAGGTCAACTTTTTTTTAGTACAATTCTCCTACAAATTTACTTTATAAGCAAGAGGAAAAAATAATTTTCAGTTAGTCCATTTTGAATTTATTGATGAAACATAATTTAACTAGGTTAACTCATGGGGTTACTCCTAACACTTGTTCAACTAAGTTAATTTGTAAAATTATTTTCAACTTGATGTAATTTTTTTTCTTTTTCAGCTTGTGAAGCTTTGTATTGCTATGATTGATACTGGAAAAGCCTTTTGTGTTGCAAATAAACAGTTCATGAATGGGATTCGAGACCTGGCTCAGTATTCTAGTAATGATGCTGTAGTTGAGGTTAGTATTATTAAAATTGCAGTGAAAATGAAAAAAATGCAACAAGACATTAAAGAAATGTATATTCATTTACCTACCTGATATTACTAGTTATGGTGATCCTTAAAATTAGAAATATAAAAGCTATCATTGCTATCTTATATAATTCTCTTTTCTAAGATAATTAGAAATTGTTGTTTAATTTGTATTATACATACCGAGCATCCCTCTTCTAACCCAGCTTCTCATTGTTTTGCCCAGTTTACTAAGTTTACTTGCTGCTAGGTGAGCTGAAACATTTGCCAGAGGTCCTGAGCAGGAAATACAGGATGATACCTACTAGTAGATGCTTATAGGGGCAAGCTGTGAACCTTAACCTGAGAATAATATGAATATGTAACTGTATGAATGGCGGGCTGTCTAGGTTCTGGTCAGACAGCTATGTTGGATTAACTTAGATCCCTTGCTATACTGTGTGATGTTAGGGTATTTCTTCCCCAAGGAAAAAAAATAATCTCTTTTTTGGAAAAGAAACGGGTGTGGTTGGGTGATTATTTGGTCCATAGACGCTTAAATGATCACGTAATCTTGATACGATCAAACAATTTTACCTTTAGGTTTATATATGCCATTCCTATTTGTTAGGGTAATACTATTGATGGGGCAGTACTAATTCTTTGACTTTTCTAGAGTTTTATATGTTTCCACTTGTAGACTTGATCTTTCTGCAGAGCATCCTCAGGAAGTAGTGAGAGTGCCCTTGGAAATAAATGTTACTGATTACAATGTAACTTGATCTTTCTGTCAGAAACGCTGAAATAACATTTTTGTGGCCTATTTTACCAGCTCATAAATGACTTGGTTTCTTTTTATTTCTTTCTCATAGACAAGTTTGACCAAGTTTTCTGACAGTCTTCAAGAAATGATAAATTTTCACACAGTAAGTGTCAGTAAGTAGGTGTTACTATGACCATGTTAATAGTTTAGTACTTTCCTTAGGTGGCAGGATTTTGTACAGTGACTAAAGTTGAATTCAATGACTTTGATCAACAACTTTTTAGTTTGGTGGATCTAAAATGTACACTGAGTGTGTGACTGTGTGTACACGTGTGTGTTTGTGTGTATGAGAGAGAGAGAGAGAATATACATCTTACTTCCCATTCCGTTGTAGTGAACTTAATATCAATGAGGTACTCACCCATAAAAGTTAATTTTTCCCTTTTGAGTTGTGGCTTTGTAAGTTTTTGAACAGTTATTTAAAAATAGTTAGGTAAGAAATAAGTTTCTTATTAAGATACTTAACAGTATATCCCATTTATCTGATCAGTTGCTTATATTAAAGACTGCTATAATCTTTGAACTATCTTTAAGATTTGAGACTGTTATCCATCAAGAAGGAAGGTATATGTTACTTTCAGAATGTCATGAAATTCCTTTATAAATTTTGTAAAAGTTTACTGGAGATATGGTAGCTTATAAACTATATACTGCTGCTGCTTTTTTTAAAAACACAGATGGGGTCTCAATCTGTTGCCCAGGCTGGAATGCAGAAGCCCAATCATAGCTCATTGTACCGAACTCATGGGCTCACGCTATCCTCCCACCTTAGCCTCCTGGGTAGCCAGGACTACAGGCACACTCCATCACACCTGGCTAATTTTGCTTATTTTTTTGTAGAGATGGAGTCTCTTGCTGTATTGCCCAGGCTGGTCTTGAACTCCTTTTCTCAAGTTATCTTCCTGCTTCAGCCTCCCAAAGTGCTGAGATTATAGGCATGAGCCACTGCTCCCAGCCTGTATGCTTCTTAAATTATTTAAAAGGCTTAATTGATATGGCTGCCATGTAATTATGTATTCAGTGCTTCAAAATTTATTAGCTGCTGTCTAGAACAACAATATCAATACTCATATTCTTTATAAAATCTGCTAATTTTTGGTTCCTAGTTAATTTGATTTTCTTAAAGTTTTTTGTTGGTCATATTAAGGATAAAGTTATATGACAATATTTTAATTGTAGTTCAAATTTTAGCTGTATCAATACTGACATGTGCAATTATCTGCTTGAGTGCTTGTTTTTAGTTCTTTTGGATATATACCTAGGTATGGAATTGCTGGGTCATATGGTAATTCTACGTTTAACTTTTTGAGGAGCTGTCAAACTGTTTCCCACAGAGGTGGCATCATTTTATGTTCCCACCAGCAATGTACGAATGTTCCAGTTTCTTCACGTCATTGTCAGCACTTATTATTTTCCTTTATTTCAATTTTAAATTATAGCCATCCTGGTAGGTGTGAAGTGGTATCTCATTGTATTTTTGATTTGTATTTCTATAATGACTAATATAGTTGAGCATCTTTTATGTGCTTATTGGCCTTCTGTGTATCTTTTGCAATTCTTACTATTGTTGTCCGTTGAAGTTCTTTGTCCATTTTTTAAACAGGTTGAGTTATAGTTTTGTTGAGTTATAGTTACAGAATTCTTCATACTGGATATTAAATCCTTATCAATATATGTGAGACAAATATTTTCTCCCATTTTGTTGGTTTCCTTTTTTACTTTCTTGAAAATGTCCTTTGCTGCACAAAAGTTTTAAATTTTGATGAAATTTGAAGTCCAGTTTATCTAGTTTTTCTTTTTTTACTTGTGCTTTTGATGTCCTGTCTAAGAAAAGCCATTGCCAAATCCAAGGTCATGGAGATTTATCCCTGTGTTTTCTTCTAAGAGTTTTATTGTTTCAGCTCTTATGTGTTATACCAATTTGACCACTTACTAGTTTTCTTTTTTGCCTTCTATTGAGTTAGGATGCCAGCATTTGGTATAGTTGATTTCTCTTTAAATCAAATGATCTTTTGGATTTAATTTGATTAAAAAATGTAATATAGTAAGAATTATTTTTTTGTCATAAATTATTTATTTTAAATTAACATAATAGGTTAACTATTTAATAGGTTAATTATTTATTATCCTTTGAAATATTCCTATCGCTCATATTTTGTTTAAATCAGTAAGTCTTATAGTATTGTTATATATAAGAATACTTTGTTTTTTTGTTATATGTGAAAAGCTATGATAAACTTTTGACAAATAAATCGTTTAATTGTATGTTGGAAGCTTTTTTGATCAAGAAATATTTCTTCAAAATATTTTATAAATTACTCTTTTAGAGTAAATTCGATCTTTAAAAATCAGGTTTGTTTGATGGAAAGTGTATATGTATTATTTGCTTCAAGGGGATAGAGATTGGTCTTTTTAATGTTCATGCTCTCAATGTGTACCTACATTCCTGAAACCTAGGCAGAGATTCCACTAATGTGTGTTTTTCCTTTCTAAAATTGAAAGCAGTCAGTGTTTCTTGACTTAAACATTGTGAAAAGAACTTAGGAATAGATGGAGATAACTTAATTTTTATCCTTAAAACTTTTTTTTGTATAATGCTTCTCTTTTCCATATACTCAATGTTCAATAAATTAGCAGAATATACCCTAAATCCAACTATCAGTAGTTTCTCTGCCACCTCCAAGTCTAAACTCCCACTGCCTCTTTTTTAGGCTTCTTTCTACAATAGCCTCCGAGCTGTGCCTCTTCCTCTCTTCTTTGCCTTCTACAATGAATTCTGAAGACAGCAACCAGAATGAACTTTTAAAAATATAAATTAGCCGGGCGCGGTGGCTCACGCCTGTAATCCTAGCTCTTGGGAGGCTGAGGCGGGCGGATTGCTCAAGGTCAGGAGTTCAAAACCAGCCTGAGCAAGAGCGAGACCCCGTCTCTACTATAAATACAAAGAAATTAATTGGCCAACTGATATATATATAAAAAATTAGCCGGGCATGGTGGCGCATGCCTGTAGTCCCAGCTACTTGGGAGGCTGAGGCAGAAGGATCGCTCGAGCCCAGGAGTTTGAGGTTGCTGTGAGCTAGGCTGACGCCACAGCACTCACTGTAGCCTGGGCAACAAAGCGAGACTCTGTCTCAAAAAAAAAAAAAAAAAAAAATATATATATATATATATATATTAATTAGGCCAGATGCAGTGGCTCACTCTGGGAGGCTGAGGCAGGAGGATTACTTGAGGTCAGGAGTTTGAGACCAGTCAGAGCAAGACCCCATCTCTACCAAAAATGGAAAAATGTTAGCTGGGTGTGGTGGCGCACGCTTGTGCGCACTGGTAGTCCCAGCTACTTGGGAGGCTGAGGGAGGAGGATCACTTGAGTCTGGGAGTTTGAGGTTGCAGGGAGCTATAGTGAGGTCACTACATTCTATTCAGGATGACAGTTCAGGATTCACATTCAGGATTCATATTCAGGATTCACAACACTCCCATGCTGTAGTCATTCCCTGTCACACTCAGAGTAATGTCCTAACCAAGGCCTGCCAAGCCCATTGTGATTAAGCTCCTGCTCATACTCCCAGGTCTTGCCTCTATTCTGCCTGGCTGTAGCCATTTGGATTTTTTGTTCTTTGAACATACTGAAGTGACTCTCATTTCAGGGCTTTGTGCTTATTTCTGTTCTATCTGGAATGTTCTTACTTCACATCTGTGTGTGGCTAGTTTCCTCACAATACTCCTTCCCACATACATACATACATACATACATACATTCATTCATTCATTCATTCATTCATTCATTCATTCATTCATTCATTCCAGCATAGTATGGGGGTACAAATGTTAAGGTTATGCTCCCTCACTTTCTTTAGGTTACTACCTGTCAGCGAGTCCTTCCTTATCTACCCTATTGTCACTCTCTGTCACTTTACCTTGCCTTTACATGCACATACACACAAGAGATTATACATATATGTATACACACATATACATGTACACATACATGGTGTGTTTTCAAATATATATACTTATTTTATTGTCTAAGTTCCATGACTAGAGGAACTTTGTTATGTTCATCTCAGTACCTAGAATAGTACTTGGTAGAAAGGAAGTTTCTCATGGCAGGTTTAATGTGAGGTTATGGACTCAAGAACAATCTTAAATGTTTTTTCACTTTTTGTTTTTTTTTAAACATAGGGTCTTGCTATGTCACCAAAACTGGAGTAGGTGTGTTTATTCTCAGATGTAGTCATAGTATACTACAGCCTCAAACTCTGGGCTGAAGTGGTCCCTGCCCCCCTCAGGCTCCCAAGTAGCTAGTGTTACAGGCTCTCACCTGGTTTAGTTTTTAAATTTTTTGTAGAGACAGGGTCTTGTTATGTTGTCCAGGCTGGTCTTGAACTCCTGGGCTCAAGCAATCCTCCCACCTCAGCCTCCCAAATTGCTGGGATTACAGGCATGAACTATTGTACCTGGCCCTAGATGACATTTAATCATAAAAAAGTCCTGAAATTATAAATTGCTATTTATTATAATATTTAAATATGATCTCAAAACTATTTGTTAAAATATGGGAAAAGCCTAATTATATAAAATGCTTTGTTTTAGTAGCATTCTCTGCAATGGGATTTTAATTACAGAGCACTCCAGTATAAAGGAGACTTAAGAAAAACTGCTTTCTGGAAAGTAATAAATAGTGGAACCTGCTTTACATTCTGTAGCAGAGATCACAGCACTTGGGTTTTGATGTTATCAGTTTTTGTTAGGATAAAAGTCTGGATTTTCTAGAGATGTCATTTATAAATCACTTTGTGGGCCTAAATAAATGTTTGAAAATAATAGAACCATTTGTGTTGTTAAGTCAAGTAAAGATTCAGCATACATTAGGATTTGATTATCTAGGCATTAAAATAAGTCATTTAGATTATCTTGTGATTTATGTCTTTACTTATATCTTGTGATTTATGTCTTATAACAATGGATAGAACTGTTTCTTATGCTCTCTTTTACAATGAGAATTTCCCTGGCGTGCTCTTTAACTTATATATCTTTATGAGATTTGAACACATGACTTTTCCAAAGATATTAGAGTAGATTTGGTGTGAAGACTTAACTAGTTTTCCTGGAACTTAGAGGTTTTGATGACTTCACTGATGACTCTTTCAGATTCTGATTTGCTGTTGGTATAGGAATTTAGAATATTTATTGATTACCTTTTCTAAATGTAGCTTTAAAATTGATTTCCTATATAAATTCTATGAAAACGTATGACTCTTTAAGTTTGAGTTTCTAAATTAGAGCTGTACACTCATTAACTCAACAGATAGTTTTAGATAATGAAAATACAGTAGTTTTAGTGTTTCCCAACTTTTTTCAGCTCATGGCACAGATTGAAACTGATGGTCATATTTGTATGGGACACTGGGGAAAACTGCAGGGGGACCTGAGGGCACTCGTGAAAAATTTTTATTTTTTAAAGGAATTTTTAAAGGAATTGTGTCTTACAAAAACACAGTGTTAGGGAAGATATTATATATTGAGTGTGTACAACCCTTCCAAATATTTAAAACATATTTTAATGAGGAGCTTGAGCTTGCTTACATAAGTATAACTTAAAAAAAAATACAGGTTTTTATGCATGAGATGGCTTCAAGCAATTCCTACTCAGGATTTAAAATTGATGATGTTTTCAAATTCTTGGTCATTGTCATTGATAAGAAACTTTGCCTACAGAGGCATATTAGTGAAAGGCAGAGAAATATTTATTGCTCTTCTCCTCTGGCTCTCAGGAGCTTCATTTTCACTTAATTAGAATTTAAATAATTCCATCTCTTCAAATTGTATTTCAAAGGGGCAATCATTCATTAATGGAACTGTTAGTTTTCTCTCATTGACACAACTAATGCTTAAATTTTCTGGGATAAATTGAACAGATTTTGAATAAAATAATGGTGAAGCTTTCCTGCAGTTCTCCATAGAATATGCTTCACTTCTTCCCTTTCCCTCTTTACCCCACTTTGAATGATTCTCCTTTTGGATTCAGGTAACATACACATGTACACAGAGATTATATATACATGTCTACACACATATACATGTACACATGAAATGCATAAATGCATTAAGATTCACCTATGTTGTTGCAGGTATTAATAGTTCCTTTTTATTGCTGAGTAGTAGTGTATGAATGTACCATAGTTTGTTTCTCCATTCACTAGTTGAAGGACATTTGGGTTGTTTTCATTTTTTGGTAATTAGGAATGAAACTGCTGTAGACATTTGCATACAGATTTTTATGTGGACCTAAGTTTTGATTTCTTTTGGGCAAATACCTAGGAATAGGATTGCTAGGTTTTATGTAAGTTTAGCTTTAACTTTATATGATATGGGAGGTTTAAAGTATAGATTCTATTTCTTTAATTCTGTTCGGTTATCAGTTCCATCTTGAGTGAGTTTTGGAAGTTTTTATCTGTCAAAGAATGTGTCCATTTCATTTATTGAATTTATACAATACAATTGTTCCCCAGCTCTGCCGACTGTCTTTCTAATATATTTACAATCTGTGATGAAGATATCTCTCTCCTTCTTGATATTTGAAATTTGTGCTTTCTTTTTGATCACTTTGGCTGGAGGTTTATCATTTCATAATCTTTTCAACCAGCTTTTGGACTCGTTGATTTTTTTTTCTCTGTTGATTTTTACTCTGATCTTTATTATTTCCTTTTTCCTGCTTAGTTTGGGTTGAATACTTTGGTTTTAACATACTATAGAAAAACTTTGTTCTGTGGAAATAAATTGACAAATTTTGAAACCCCAGACTACATCCAGATTCCAGATTGTGTGTGTATGTGTGTGTCTTAATTAGGAGAAAATAGAAGACACAATTTCAGAAAGTATGAAATTATGGTATTGATTTTAATTAATATTGTTTTTAATTAGTTTTACTTGTAAGAAGGACACAGGATTTTCTTTTTGCTTTGAGTTTTCTGCCTGTTATCTAATTCTGTTTCAAACTCAGAATGAAGTATATCTGTAAATTATGAAGTTACTTGGAATTTCCATAATAAGCCCTGTGACATTTACCGTACACAGAGCCATCAGTGTTAAGTATGTGGCATCATTTAAGTGGGGGCAAAATACTGTTCTGAGAAATAAAATTTTATTCTTGTCTCTAATCTTAGCAATATTTGACCTAAAGGACTATGCAATGTTTACTTGAATTCAAAACACACAATGCTTAAATCCCCAAGTCTTCTCAAATGAGTAACCTCTAACTAAGGTATATGGCAGTTATAGAGTTGTTTTCATTTGGTATCCTTTGATATATGGGAGTAAGGAATTTCTGTGGTGGTTAGAGTGGGATTTGCATTACTATTTTAGGTTGTCTTCCAAAGCCTGAATTAGAATAAAGGAAATAGGTTGCTCTACTGTTTGAGCATTCTGTTTAAATATTAAGGCAGTTTTGTTTTTCTCTGTAAATAGAAGTAATTTTATTTTTGAGACAGGTGAAATTGGCTTAAAATCTGTTTCAATTTCTTTTTTAAACATATTTCTTTTGTAGTCTTCAGTAAGAAGAAATATAGGTGGTATTAGAATTATAGTATTGATGAAGGGATGCAGTATTTGTAGAACTACTAGAAAATTATTTTCTTTGTTTACTTTTCTAATCACTAAATATTACATTTTATTTTTTAGATCCTGTTTGACCAAACTCAAAGATCAATTAAGGCACAGCTTCAGAACTTTGTTAAAGAGTAAGTTAATTACAGAGGCAAAGAGGAAATAAAAGCAACCATTTCATGACCACTTCTGGGAATTGGTATCTTTTGGAAGAAATTATGGGCCATGAATTACTGAAATTACTAAAAAATTGAATTTTTTGTTTTTTGTTTTGAAATATATATTGTATTTCTTCCTAAATTACTCTGCAATGGAATCAGATTTCATGTCTTTTAGTGAATCATTTACATTATGACTATGTGTTTAGGATAAATAGCTAGAGTTATAGTTTTAAAAATATTTTTAAATGTAATAAATAATGTGATTGACCTTTCATAATCAAAGCTAATCCAAAAGTGATTGGAATGCTATTAGTTATTGTAGTTGAAACTAAGTTTTCCATTGTTACAATGATTTTTTCTTTGAAGAGGAGATAAATATATGAGAATGAGTCATGGAAGCATGTACCGTTTTTTGTTACATGAGTCTTTTGTGTCACACCATCACATTTTATATGTGAAATAAAATGGAACTAGAAATAAAACAACTCTGAACTTTCTGAGTTAGGAAAGTTTGCCTTTTTCTCATTAATAATTCAGTTTTTCTCTTTTAATTTTTGACTGAGGATATATAAAATTACAGATAAAGTTGATTATGATATAGTATTCAGGATACATTATAGAAATTACAGGCTGTAAATAGTATCAGATCTCATCAACATAGTACACTGTTTTAGTAGTTTAGAATTTGTTATCCTAGAGGTGATGTCTTGCAGATTCTATATAAATTATTTCATAATAGACTAACACTCAGAATGTCCTCATAGAATGTATACATAAAAATTTATGACTTCCTTCAAAAGGTTTAAAGTCTTTCTTATGTATACTTTATTATGATTTTTTAAAAAATCATTTATCTTGAGGTTATTTTGCCCGGTTCTCTTATAGAAAAATAAAAGCAAAAAGATTATATGACTTATCTAAGATCAGTAATGAATCAAGTGTTTCAGATTTTCAAATAGTTGAAAGAGATACTAATACCTTTTACTGGTACAACAATTCTTTTAGAAATTTGTGTGTGTGTGTATGTGTTAAGAGTTGTTTTATTCATGCCTTTTGATCCAGTAATTCCTTCCAAGAAGAAATGAATGTTGTTTCTAGAAGTGTAGGATCTGTAGACCACCCATACGAGTAAAATCAAGGGTATGTCCTTAAAAAACTCTCAGATTTCTAGGATTTATCCCAAAGACTAATGAAGTGTAATCTCTGGGAAAGGGTCTTGGAATTTGTATTTTAAACAAGTGCCCTATGGTGATTCATATGTATACTACTGTTTAAAAATCATTTGTTTAAATAATAGTACATCTCCCTGAATTTGTCTTTAGAAATTAACTTTGCCTTTTATGTTTCTGTAATGTTAATTTGATAATTTATTTTCACCTCAAGTTATGTAGATTTAAATAAAGAAATGTTAGCTGACTGTATTAGGTTGTACATATAATTCAGAAACAGTATATCAATATGTTTTAGTGGGAAGTGCTGGTGAATGTCAATGCAAGGTGAAACAAATAAGTGGAAGAACACAAGAATTAAATTCTAAATGTTATTTTGCTAAAGTTTTTGATCAAGAAGGTTTTAATGAAAGTTTCATGGTTTTTATTTTTTAGAGATCTTAGAAAATTCAAAGATGCCAAGAAGCAATTTGAAAAAGTCAGTGAAGAAAAAGAAAATGCATTAGTAAAAAATGCTCAAGTACAAAGAAACAAACAGCATGAAGTTGAAGAAGCCACAAACATTCTCACAGCAACAAGAAAATGTTTTCGACATATAGCCCTTGACTATGTACTTCAGGTATATACTTTATTACTATATATGTTTTCAAACAATGATTATTATGCCGGGTGTGGTAGCTTATGCCTGTAATCCTCATACTTTGGGAAGCCGAGGTGGGAGGATTGCTTGAGCCCAAGAGTTCAAGACTAGCCTGGGCAACATAGTGAGATGCTGTCTCTATAAAAATTTGAAAAATTATTCAGTTGTGATAGCACGTGCCTGTAGTCCCAGCTACTTAGGAGGCTGAGGCAGGAAGATCTTTTGAGCCCAGGAGTTTGAGGTTGCAGTGAGCTATGATGATACCACTGTACTATAGCTCAGGCAATAAAGTGAGACCTTGTCCCCCCAAAAGCATAACAAAACAACAAAAAATAAAACCAATGGAAAAATAAAAAATAAAACCAATGCTTACTAAACAGGTTATTACTTTTGAACGATTGCGTCAAGAAAAAATACTTTTTCTTTGAATTTAAAATTAAAACATCTTTTATGGAAAAATTTCATCTATGTGTATATCTGTGTGTGTATCTACTTGTGTGGTTGTGCATACCTTTGGTTCTGAGTTCTTCATCTTTGCACTTAACATTATGATTTCTATCCACTTATAAATGTTTTAAAAAGTGCTAAATTTTATTCTGTGGAGTTGTTATGTCAATTTAATTGATACTTGATTATCAGACATTTATGGTGTTCAAGTTTTTACTGACAATAGTGAAAATATAATTTCTAAGAATTATAAGTGATAATAACATCTTGATATATAAATCTTTTGCCACATTTCTGATTTTTTTTAGAGTAGATTCCAAGGCTCCCCATAAGGATAAATTATAATAATTAAATTAATAATTTGGGAACTAGTTTCTTCCATGCATGTAAACAAACCCACATGGCATAAATGGCTTGTTAGCACAACACGTTTACACTAGTGTCTGGTCTCATTGTTTATACAGTCACTTACGCACAGCATCACTTTCATTTTGGCTTTTTAATCTGATTTCGTGAGTCTATATTTACCCTCATGACCATGCCTCCAAAGCAAAAGTCCACTGCAAGGCCAGCCGAGCCTGCAGTGAACAGAAAGGTGATTATAATGGAAATGAAAGTAGAAATAATTAAGCCCTCAGAGAAAGGCCAGATACCCTCATTCATTTGGAAAGCATTAGGCTCCAGTTGCTATCAGAGTAATAATAAAAGATAAAGTGAGAATAATGGAACATGAGAAAGGCAGTGCTCCAATGAAAGCATCAATTATTACTAAGCATTGTGGTGGATTAATTACTGAAATGAAAAGATTATTGTTGATTTGATTAGAAGATCAAAACAAGCATAACATTCCTATTAGCCTAGGAATTAAAAGAAAGAGCATAATAGTTTTTGTAACTTATTATTACAGTACAAGGGTATTATTATTACAGTATTATACTATATTATTACCACATATGAGCCATTATAGTATTATTATTACTATATGTACACTATTTGTCAGGCGTCTGAGTTAAATACAAATCCAACCCAAAGACATTCTCAGTAACGTATCTCATCTGTAACACAGGGACTGCCTGAATTCTCTTTCACTAAAATGGTAGACCACACTCTCCTTCTTGAAACATACTTTTGGTTTCATTTATCTGAAACTGCTTTTACGTCCTCTTCCTCAGTTCTGTTTCTTTTCGATTTCTGCCTTGGGCTTCTCTCCTTTGTCTGCTCTTTCAAGTCTCCTTTTTATGGCTCCATCTTTGGTTTTATTATTTTCTTCCTTTATTATTTTCTGACAGTCTCATCATGCCCCTTGCTTGAATAGCTACCTGTACATAGATGGAAAAACTTATTTCTCACAGAGGTACCTCATTGTATCCACAACTGAAATCTCTCATCTTCCAAAATGGCTTCTCTTTCTCTATTGCCCTTATCTAGCTGAATGGTGTCACTCTCTCATTCTCATGTAAGTTCAAACTGAGAGAATTACATCAGATATTCTCCTCATTCTAAGCCACTATATCTGGTTACCAAAATGTCTTGAAAGTTCCTCCCATGTCCCTCTAAAATCTGTTTTTTCTTGACCCTTCTGTACCCCTAACCCAGTCTTATTGTTTCTTCTCTGGAGTATTGAGATATTTTCGTAAAATCAGTCTTCCTTAAATTGCTTTTACCTGCCCTGTCACCAATTCATTCTCTGTTCTGTGGTCAGGGTTACTCAAATTTCTCCAGGTATAATGAATCAGTCTTGCCTTTGTCTTTTCTGTGTTGCCATAATATTTTCATGCACATTGCAGTTAGACCACTTATCACATTTATTATAAATATTTATTTATATGTTTTTTCTATTCCTAGTCTCTAGTCCAGTGGTTGGAAAATAGATAGGTAATACCTCCTTTTGAGACAGTGAATGGCTTGATGTTATAAACTTTGTATGGTGGGGGGTTAGCTAAAATATTAATTATTTTCAAACTTCACCTTACAGATGATCCATTTTCTTTGGTGTCCATTCAACAGTTCTAAATTAGGGCTCCTACCTCCATAAATAACTATTACATTGATTTTTTTAGTGAGAACTGTTATATCACTTTATTTTATGGCCAAGGTATCTATTTTACAGAATATTAAGTAATAAATACCCAACTGTATAAAGTTTATCATGCTTTAACTTCTCTAAATATTTGAATTTACTTTTTCCCCCCCAAGAATTTAAATGCTGTTTTTCATTGCCAAATAGGAAAAAACACTAAAACAGAGGCACTTTTAACATTATTCAAAGTTTGAATAATAGGCTATTTGCAGCCTCTTCTCTTACTTAGAGCATTTGAATATTAATATTTTAGTTCTCAAAACTGAATAGGCATTGAAACAGACATGCAAAGAAACGTGCTTAGCTATGCAAAGTTATTTAGATTTTTCCTTGGTCTGGTTTTATTTTCTAGTCAGTGTGTTAAAATTATCTTATAAAAGAGAGAACTCAGCGGGAAGGACATTAAAAAGGCAGATATTTTATAATCTTTTGGCAATATTAATAACAAAGAATGAATGATTCTTTTCTTGGTAAATATTTTATTTTATTAAGCTGATATATAATAACAGACAAAAATAAAATGTTGTGAATTTGTGGAGTTGGGAAAGATCACATAAAAGGCAAATCTCTTAATTTGCTGATCTTTCAGTAAGTCTAGTCTAATTAAAATATTTATTTAAGATCCATTAATTTATTTAACAAATATTTATTGAATGCTTACTGTGTGCTACTTGAGGACTAGAACTGGGAATAAGACAAAGACCCTGATCTCACTGAACTTACACTTCACCTAGGGGAAAGACATAATGAAGAAAATATAAGGTATAAGGTAGTTGTAAATGCTAGGAGTAAAATAAATAAGGTTGATGTATTAGGCACTGCATAAGGGGCTACCTTAGACCTTTGTGAGGAGATGATATTTAAGTTGAGACCTGAGTGGTAAGAGATAGTCTTGTGCCCATCTAGGCAGAATGTCATGAATTGTAGGCAAATAGCTGGTACAAAGGCATTGAGGTAGGAGTAGTCCAGGTTGGAACACAGAAAGGGGGAAGGTAATAGAAAACTAGGTTGAAGAGGTAGGTAGAAGATTTTAAGCTGGAGGTAACAGGATCTTATTTATATTTTAAAAAGATCACTTTGGTTGCTGTGTAGAAAATGGATTGTAGGGAGTCAAGAGTGAAAGCACAGAAGAGACTAGTTCTATTGCAACAGTCCAGAAAAGATATGATAGTGATAAAGTGATGAGAATTTGCATTAAGGCTATAGGTTGCCTCTTGATGAGCAATTAGATAAAGAAGGTGGGGGAGAAAGATGGAATTCATAGAAGTTTAAATGTCAAAATAGTTCCATCACTGTAATATAATTTAAATGACTAATTTTCTTTGAGCTCAAAAATGGATGAGAATTTGTTGGTATATTTGTCTTAATTGTTTTTTGCAAAAAGAGGGTCAAAGGATGAAAAAACTTGAACTTTGTTTTTATTTGCTTTTTGGAAAAGTATTAAACCATTAAACTAAGCAAGTTTTACAATATTGCATTATGGATTAGTCTTTAAAATAACGATGAGTGATTAACTGAGTGTATTTTCCCTCAGATTAATGTTCTTCAATCAAAAAGGAGATCAGAAATCCTAAAATCAGTAAGATATAATTGAAATGATCTTTTAAGTATTTTAATATGAAACTAAATGTACATATTTAAGTGTTTAAAACAGCATATGGTATATATATTCCAGGTTCATAGTTGCTATTACTTCTTTTTGATCTTTATTTGTATTTCTTATATGGCACTTAACCACTCTTTGTCTCCTTCATGTTATAGTTGTTCATGTGTGTCTCGTCTGTTAATACACTGTGAACTCTGTAAAGGCAGACTTCTGTACATTGTTTTTATATTCTGTTATCCTAATGTGATGTTCAGTGCTGTTTGGTGAATAATTGGAAATGATTGGTATAAAAACATGTGAGCCTATTTCAGGATTTATTTTTAAATTTATGAAAATAAAATAATATTACATTTAGGTTTTGAATTTTCTCTCAATTTTATTTGCTTTTAAAAATTTTCTACCCAACTTCTTTCAACATATTTTATTTTTCTCTATAATTTTGTGTGTTATTTGGATTTTTAAAATATACAAGATTGAGAATTTATACAAATAGTGTCACTTCAAGAATTTTCACCTCAGGATTGATGATGTGTCTGTATTTTGTTCTTCTGTATGCAATTATAAAACCAATGGGTTGAAATTTGAGAGTCACTTTTATTCCTGAGCCTCTTTATCCATGGTGACAATAATTTTTTTTTTTTTTTTTACTTCTCTGCTCCCTTCCCCATCTGTTTTGTGACAGGGTCTTGCTCTGTCACCCAGGCTGGAGTACAGTGGTGTGTGATCACAGCTCACTGCAACCTTGAACTCCTGGGCTCAAGCAATCCTGCCTCAGCCTCTTCAGTAGCTAGGACTACAGATTCATGCCACCATGCCGGCTCATTTTTTTTGTTATTAGCCTGGCTAATTTTTTTAAAAAACTTTTTTTGTATGAGTTACCCTGGCCGGTCTTGAATGCTTGGCCTTGAGCAATCCTTCTGCCTTGGCCACCCAGAGCACTGGGATTATAGGCATGAGCTACTGTACCTGGTTTGCCCATATTTTTGTCTCAAAGATAACAAATAAGTGGGCAGAGGATGGTAGTGGTATGGCATTGTACTCTTCATATTTAGAGAACCCTAGAAATAACTTCTGAATTTATTTACTGTATTTATTTTCCCCTAAAAAGGCTATACTTAAATTGCTTTAGATCCTTGTCCCCACCTAGCTTTTTCCTAAATTTTATGTATATATTCATATTATATCAGGTAAATACAGTGTACTTCTTGTTTTTTAAAAGACAACATTTACCACCCTCCTTACTCATTTTGTAGATTGACAGTAATGTGTGTTGATTGTAGAAAATTAGAAAATGTCTAAAAAAAATCCATAAAAAACCACTCATAAATTCTACTACCAAGGGAGAACCACTGTTAATATTGTTAATATCTTGGCATATATTTTCGTCTTTTTTTTCTCTTTCTTTATGTGAACATGTATATCTGCCTTTTAAAATTGCATCTAATTGCATTTAAGCAAAATTGATCATTCCTACATACCATTTTATAAAATTTTTTTTTCCATTAGTAGATTGTAAAATCATGTGTCATTTAAATGTTCTTTATTTAATGATGGCTTTGTGGCCAGGTAGAATTATTCTACCACATGAATATACTAAGGGTGGGCAGATATTTCTTGTAAAGGGCCAAGTAGTAAATAGGGTATGTTTTACAGGCCTCATGGTCTCTGTTGCAGTTACTCAGCTATGCCCTTGTAATGAGAAAGCACCCATAGACAGTATGTAAATGAGTGGTCATGGCTGTGTTCCAATAAAATTTTATTTATGGACACAGAAATTTGAATTTCATGTATTTTCATGTGTTATGATTCCATATATCTTCATTTTTTTCTGACTATTTAAAAATGTAAAAACTATTCTTAGCTCATGGGTCGTCCAAAAACTGGTGGTAGGGCTGGATGTAGTTTGCAGATCATAGTTTGCTGATTTGAATGAAAATACCATAAATTAACTTCACCTATTAATGGATATTTAAATAATTTCCATGTTTTTGACATTAAAATGTAACATTGTAGTGATCATTCTAATGCATAATCTGATTATTTCCTTAGGAGAGATTTATAGATAAGGGATTACTTAGAGAATTTGAGTACTGATTAAAGCTTTTTAAAAATATTGTCAAATTTCAAGGGTTATACAATATTTCTACTAATACTGTGTGAGAATGAACATTTCTTCACATTTTACCAGCACTAAATATTACAGTTTCCCTTACCTACTCTCAATTTGGTAGATAGAATTTGGTAGATAGATGTGATCTCATTATTCAATTTTGTGTTTTGTTAATATAGATAAGTTAGAGCATTTTTTCCCATATTTTTTGCCAATTATGTACCCTATATATATCCTTTATCTCTTTTTCTGTTGGAATATTCAACTTTTTCATACTGATTTGTAATATTTCTTGCATATTAAGACTACTAATGTATTTGTGTTTTTTTTTTTTTTTTTTGAGACAGAGTCTCACTTTGTCACCCAGGCTAGAGTGAGTGCCGTGGCGTCTGCCCAGCTCACAGCAACCTCAATCTCCTGGGCTCAAGCGATCCTGCTGCCTCAGCCTCCCAAGTAGCTGGGACTACAGGCATGCGCCACCATGCCCGGCTAATTTTTTCTATATATATTAGTTGGCCAATTAATTTCTTTCTATTTATAGTAGAGATGGGGTCTTGCTCTTGCTCAGGCTGGTTTCGAACTCCTGACCTCGAGCGATCCGCCTGCCTCGGCCTCCCAGAGAGCTAGGATTACAGGCGTGAGCCACCACGCCCGGCCTTGTATTTGTTTTTTGTTACGTGTTTTTTCTTATTTTATGATTTTTTAATATGCCTTTTTTGTTTTGATGTACAGGCATATTTTATATTTTCATATAGTTCTAGCTATTAATCTCCCTTCTCTATTTTTTTAAAAAACAATTTAGTGTTTTTTATTACTTTATGTATGTATAGTTTCATTCTATTCACAAAGTTTTCCATTATCTTATTCCAGAATAATTTTTCTTTTGTGAGTTTTATCATTTTGTCTTTGTGTTTTATTTAATAGGTTTTTCTCTCAGAAAGAAAATTTTTTTGGAGGATTTTTGAGTATTAAAGACCTTATGACCTATTTTAGACTTCAGAGAATTAAACAGATGCCTCTTCTTGCTAAAAATAATGTGGATGCTTAGAAACTTTTTTCAGTATTATGCATTTAATTATGTGATTCCTTCCCATGTAAAAACTAATAAAAATGAGGGTGATTTTTCTGTCATGAATAGGTAAAATATAGGAAAACTTAGAGAAAACTTAATCCGTTGATATCATTTCTGGATTTATGGAATGACTATAAAGAAAACTCCATATTGGCAAAATCTGTTTCAATTCATTTTATTTTTGTATTTTAAGGAAAAAATGAACACTTACTCACTTCAAGTTGTGTTTGGTGATCTAGTAGGTTGTGAAGTGTGATTATTTTGAGAGCTTTATATTTCCCCTTCTTATCTTTTTATATCTTACTTGCAATTTAAGGTTTTACAGTGAATTTGGTTGAAGAAGCACATAGATATTTTGTAATACACCTAGGAAGATAGTGAAGCTATCAAAAATTGATTATTTGAATTAATTGTATACATTTTAATCATCTGGATACAGTCTAAACAACTAAAATGTTGGGCATTTAGAAGACTTTAAACCACTGGGAAATTTCTTTTAAATAAAATTTATTTTTATTTTAGTTTCAAATATTTCTGAAATGTTCTTTTAAGAAAAATGGCTCAGTTTAATTTTAAATAAGTTTGACGTTTTCAGCGCTTGTGGAATAATTTTTAAACATTAAATAGGATTGGGATTTTTTCTTTCTTTTTTTTAAAAAAAATCAGCATTTTCAGGTTGAAAGGATTAGGATATTTTAAAATTTCAGAATTAATTAATCTAAGAACAGATTTTAAAATGGCAATCTTTTTTCTCTATTAGATGTTATCCTTTATGTATGCCCATTTGGCCTTCTTTCATCAAGGATATGATCTGTTTAGTGAACTCGGGCCCTACATGAAAGATCTTGGAGCACAGGTAATATTGGACTATATTTCTTGATTTTGTATTATACACTGATATTTGTGTTTTTAAATAAATTTAGCATATTTTGAGGTATTTGACATTTCATGTACTTAATGAAGGAGTTTGATGGTATAGCAAATTTTTGTATGGGTTAAATATATAGCCAAAAATGAAATCAAAGGTAAAAAATAACCTTATGTTATAGATTGTATATGAGGGTACTGAAAAGGAGAATTTAAAAATAAAGTATTTGTTTTGCAGTATACACAGCTAGATTTACTTTTTAATTTCTAACGTGGATAATTGAGTTATTGTCCTAATTTGGTTTTTGGGTCATAGCTTTTTTATTTTCCAAAGAAACATCATATATTTTGCTATTTGAATAATATTATAGACTCTTAAAAATATAGGGCCTCTAGAATTTTTTTCATTTCACACAGACACATGTGAGTATCTGTGTATATATAAGAATTATACATACACATAAGAGTTTTATATGTATAGAGATGTCATTCTTTTATATTATTTTTCATATATGATTAGAATTTTAATTAGATATATTCTGGGGATTTTTTTTATTGGTAAGCTTTTTTGATTTGATAATTTCAACTTTTAGGTGATTTTCTTTCCCAAGATGGTTTAATTTACTTTCTGAGGGGAGTGGATTAAGGATAAAAAATGAAGTTTAGGGAAATGTGAAAAAGGTAGCTGTTACAGTAGACTTGTGAGAGCCGGCTGCACTAGTTTAACTGCACTACTTTTGCTATTTGGGAAAAATCACCAGTGTGTTTTCTTTGTATCTTGGATTGTAACTACCAGGGTTTGCTGAGTGGGTCAGCAGGCAACTTAAGCTAGAGTCATTTACTTTATTTAAAGCCTGAACATGTATCACTGCAGTGCCCATCACAAGGCCTCCAGTCACATATGTGTGGCACGATGACTCTTCTTGGAAACATTTTCTCTAGAGGCTATCTGGATCTTCTCAAGAGGATGTGATTACCAGAAAAAATATGAACTACTTTAAAGTTTGGCCAAAATGCGTTTTTAATTAAGCTTAAATTGAATGATTTATTGCTGTGTTTATCTGTGAAATGAATTGGAATATGGTTTGAAAAAATAATCATACCTTTTTTCCTTTGATTTTAAGTCTACAATTTTCTCTTTTCCCCCACTTTAAGTTGGATCGACTGGTTGTGGATGCAGCAAAAGAGAAAAGAGAGATGGAGCAAAAACATTCCACCATCCAACAAAAGGTACCTGAGGGGAAAAGTTAAAGGAGACTAATTCCCATTATACACAGTTATTTCATTATTGGTTTATGCAAGGTACCATTGTGTTGGAACAAATCCTTTGATTTGCTTAATAATTGAATTGTGTAGATAAATTCCTCCTCTTTTTGTGAAAAGTGGAATATTTTTCAGATATTAAGGTATGTATTTTACTATCCTTTTAGATCAAAACGATTGAAAGCCACGCTCTTGACAGTTTATAAAAACTTTAATTTCTTAGGGCCTTAAGTCAGTTAAAAGTAGCCTTTAGTGAGAATTTGAAACACTGTTTGTAGTTTTGTTTAGGATGTCACCAATCCCCTGTAAACGTATGTGTGTGTGAGTGAAAGAGAGCGTGCACACGTGCACAAGCGCAAGACGAGATGGGGAAAAGGGTAAGAGAGGGCACACACACTTTAGTGACAATATGTGTGTTTGGTTTTATGGACTTTCCAGCTGCAGTCACTCTAATGTATAACTACCTTCTTGTGTGATGCCGAAACTTCACTTGCATTGCTTGTTAAATTGGCAAACCCTAGCTAAACTAATTTTTGAAAAATACATTTTAAACATGAAAACTCAAATATTAAACAGTTTCTATTTCTTCATGAGGAAGGAGTTGGTTGTGACATGTCTGAAACCCAACCTAATAATTTTTTATCTTATATAGTCAGTGGTATTTTTTGTGTAGTAATCTGAAAATAAAAGGAGAGAGTTGAAGGTTGAATGCAATAATATGTGTGTGGCAAGATACCTTTTGGCATTGCTCTAAGAAGTCTGCTTTCTTGGTGTTGAGCAATCAACTCAACTTTTGTCATGGTTTATTTAGAATTTAAAATGTCAGTAAACTAGATCTGACATAGAAGTTGTCAGTGGAAAGAAATGAAATCAAAATCGGTAATAAAAGTAGGAAAAATTTAATTGATAATGGATTACTAATGCTCAACGGGAAACAGTATTAGAAAAAGGGAAAGATTTTCTGGCTGTTTTTAATTAAAATAAGAGATCAATCATATTTGTAGAAATATGTGACTATTTGCTTAAATTAAATTATTTAATGAATATTATATATGTTTTAACATCTTTTCCTATGTGTACACAGTTTATTGTCGTATTGAAGGTCCAAAAATGGTAAATTATAAATATAAGATTAAGTTATTTTATTTTAAATAATACTCAACTGTTTTCCTTTAAAGAAAATAATGCTATTTTCTATTTTTGCTCATTATGAATACTCACCTCTTTTCTGTCCTTAAATGCTGACACAAGGCTGCATTACAGGTAAAAAAAAAAAATTCCAGCCAACTAAAAAATTAAGGGAAAATATGTCTAGTTTAATTACTTAGCTTTTTTAAGAATTGAAATTGGTCAGCTGAAGAAATATTCATGTACATGCCTTTTTTTTTTTTTTAAGAGTCTCACTTTGTCACCCAAGCTGGAATGCAATGGTGCTATTGTAGTTCACTGTAACCTCAGAACTCCTCTGCTCAAGCTATCCTCCTGCCTCAGCCTCCCAAGTAACTAGGACTACAGGCGTGTGTAACCATGCCTGAATATTTTTTTATTTTTTGTGAAATGGGATCTCCACTGTGTTGCTCAGGCTGATCTGGAACTCTTGACCTTAAGCAATCCTCCTGCCTGGGCCTCCCAGAGTTCTGGGATTACAGCTGTGAGCCACTGTCCTGGCCTGTACATGCCTTTTGGATTTATACACACATTTCTGTTGGGCTTATACCTAGGAGTAAAACTGCTGAGTCAGAGGGTGTATTAACATTAGTAGATAATGTTAAATTGTTTTAAATTGTATTAGGGTTATTACATAATACTAAATCGTTTTTCAAAATGTTATACCATTTCTGGCAGGCAGCACTGTGTGAGTGTTCTCATTGCTTCTTGCCACAGCAATTATATTGTGAGATTTAAAAATTTTTGCAAATTGGTGGGTAGATATTAACATCTTACTGTGGTTTTAATTTATACTTTTTTAGTGACTGAAGAACGCAAGCATCATATTTTATATTTATTTGTCATTTGGCTATCTTATAAATGCTTATTAGTCTTTCTCTCATTTTTTACCAGGTTGCCTCAATTATTGATCAATACTTAATATATTCTGGATATAATCCCCTTTTGGGATACATGTATCTTTAATTTCCATATAGCTTATTTTATCAACCTCATATTTGGTGCTTTTTGTGTCCTTCCCAACTCAAGATCATGAGAGAGAGATATCTTGTTAGATTTGCTTTTCATGTTTAGACATTTAATCCGTGTGTTATTGGGTATTTGTGTATGGTGTGAAGTAGAGATCTAATTTCCTTTCATTCTCCCATTAGTAGTTAGGTGATCCAGATCAGTTATTTAGGTCCTCTCCTCACTGCTCTGTCATATACCATGTGTTATATAGAACACATTTCCATATATATGAGGCATGTTTCAGGCTCTTTAATCTGTTCCATTGGTCTGTTAGTCTAAAGTGCCAATACTCTGCCTTCTTGATTATTTTTAGCTTTATAGAAAATTTTGATATCTGATAAAACAAAGCTTCCTATCTTCTCTTCTTCAAAAGTAACCTGCTTAGTTTTGTATTTCCATATACATTTCAGAATATATATGGCTTTTAAGTTTCCATAAAACTAACTTTTGGGATTGTGGTTGGGATTATATTAGATCTATGAATCCATTTAGGAGAAAATTGATATTTTATTCCTTCTAATCCATGAGGTTGTTATATTCTCCATTTATTTCAGTTTTCTTTGATGGCCTTCATAAAGTTTTATGATTTTCTTGTACATCTTATGTTAGACTTATTCCTAGACACTTGTATTACAAATGTTATTGTAAATGTTATCTTTTAAAAATTTATTTTCTCACTGTTTCCTTCCGTAATATGAGAATAAAATAGATTTTTCTGTATTTTGTAACTAGTAATCTTGCTGAGCTTTCTTTTTATACTTGATTTATCTCTGGATTCTTTTGGGTAGTCTGTGTATAAAGTATTATCATCTGTAAATAATGATAGTTTGTTTCTTTCTTTCCAATCCTGTACTTTCCCCTATCTTGCTGGCTAGGACTTTCATCATAATCTTGAATGGAAGTGGTAATAATGGTTTTCCTTGTCTCGTTTGCACTTTCAAAGGGAAAGCTTCTGTTAGATTGCCTTTATCGACCAACCATGGTTTTGCCTTCTGTTCCCTGGACCCCACACAAAAGCTCAAGTTCTCCTGATAGGCAAATGACCTTAAGGTGAAGCCTGGATCCCTTGCTCTGCTTACCTTGATGGCTTCCAATTTTCACTCAGTCTTTTGCCTTTGAGTATTCCTCCCTAATTTGTCAGATCATCAGTGTATTTAAGTAGAGTTTAACAGTATATATTTTATCCATTGATATTTGCTAACATTATGAAATGTGTCATATTTTAAGTACTATTAAATATTAATTGATATTAATAGTAATTAAATTGAAGATTTAACTTATCTCAAGAAATACAGTTAAAAATTAGAGAACACTTATAATACACTGCACTTTCAAGGAAGTCTTATTCTGTATTTTAAGTAGCATCAAGATCATTAAAAAATTACAGGTGTTACATACAAATGAAATCTTTAGAATGTTCCCCAAATCAGTTATATCTATTGCTCCCTTAATCCTGTCTGCATAATTAAATAAATTATAGCCTCAAGTAAATTTTACATAGGGGAATTAACGTTTGCCTGATTTTTTTCTAAAGAAAAAGTAGGAAAAAATGTAGTAATTCATTTACAGATTCTGTTTCTTTTGATTAATTAGATTGTCATGTCGTTTTGTGGTTAAAGTTTGAAAGGTAGCAGGAGAGTTTTTTTTGTTTGTTTTTAATTGTGGCTTCAGTCTGTTTTCTTTTCCATCTGATTAGACTCTTAGATTTGTTTTTTTTTTTTTTTTGAGACAGAGTCTCGCTCTGTTGCCTGGGCTAGAGTGGTGTGGCGTCAGCATAGCTCACAGCAACCTCAAACTCTGGGCTCAAGCGTCAGCCTCCCAGAGAACTAGGATTACAGGCATGAGCCACCACGCCTAGCCTAGACTCTTAGATTTGGAAGGCTCTTAGGTGATTCTTATTCTGTCTCCCCTCCAATGCAGGGCCCCCACATCTCAGCATTCTCAGCAGGTCCTCATACAGTCTCTGCCAAAATGTTTCTCAAGGCAGGAAGTTTACTTGAAAGACAGGAAGTTTACTACTCCCTAATAGGATAGTATTCTAATTTTAATCATTGCTTCAGGAGTAATTTTGAAAGTTCCGAAACTGATTTTCAGAGTTTTCAACTTGCTGATAACAGCAATCTTGGTTTTGTTCAAAATACTTTGGAAGTTTGTTAGGAAATACTTTAAATATTGGATTCTTGACTTCCAAACTTCATGAATCCTTGGAGGAAAATTGACAGTTTATATTGCATTGAAGTGATGACTTGAATGATTAGAATGATAGGCGAAGACTATGAGTAATTTCATAGTCCTCAGGGAAAAAAATGAGCTCAACAAGCCCACTTCAAACTGTGGACTAAGATCCTTTTCCTTTGCAAAAGTGAGTTTTATTTCTGGAAAAAAATGCCATAGATTCTTTATCCTGTTTCTGAACTTCCCAAATGGTGGAGTGATTACTCCTATCAGACCAAAAAATTATCTTGGTAGTGATATGTTTAGAAAATAGTAGTAGATTAGGCCGGGCGTCGTGGCTCACACCTGTAATCCTAGCACTCTGGGAGGCCGAGGTGGGCGGATTGCTCGAGGTCGGGAGTTCGAAACCAGCCTGAGCAAGAGCGAGGCCCTATCTCTACTATAAATAGAAAGAAATTAATTGGCCAACTAATATATATAGAAAAAATTAGCTGGGCATGGTGGCGCATGCCTGTAGTCCCAGCTACTCGGGAGGCTGAGGCAGGAGGATCACTTTAGCCCAGGAGATTGAAGTTGCTGTGAGCTAGGCTGACGCCATGGCACTCACTCTAGCCTGGGCAACAAAGCGAGACTCTGTCTCAAAAAAAAAAAGAAAATAGTGGTAGATTTAAATAATCCCAATTAAATATATTCATATGCCTTTTAAAATATTGATAACACATATCCGTATAAAATATTGGGGTAAAACAAAAACATTTTAAACATAACACTGTGTAATACTCAATTGTTCTTTTATCTGTTTGCATACATATTATTTCGTGCTTTTAATCACAGCATAATACAAATATCGTTTTCTTTTTTTTTTGCCGTATATTCTATATAATTATCTGTTTTTACATCATCATAATAAGTATTGCATAGTAGTCTGTTGAGTAGAAATACTATAATATGTTCAAGCATTCCTTTATTATTGATCATTTGGGTCCCCATTCCCCTTTCATATGAATATTGTTGTAACTGTCTTAATAGCAAACTTTTTCTACCTTTTGTGCTCTTTCTCTAGGATACATTTGTTATCTAGGGAACTTAGTCAAGTCATATAAACTTTTTTATGTGTTGTTTTGTCTAGGATTTCTCCAGTGATGATTCTAAGTTAGAATATAATGTAGATGCTGCAAATGGTATTGTTATGGAAGGATATCTGTTCAAACGAGCCAGCAATGCCTTCAAAACTTGGAACAGGTAATATATTTCAAATACTAGTGTTGTTCTTTCCTTAGTCACAATTTTATGACTTTCTCTGTGATTTGGCAGCTCTCTCTGTAATAATTCTTTAAATTCTGTAAATTCCATGGCAACTTTCCTGAACCCAGTCCATTGAAGAAAACATGTCTTTAGAAGCAGGTGAAAAATGAAAATATTAATTCTAAATTTAAGCAAGGTTTAAACAAGGAATCAAGGAAAATTTTTATAATATTTGGTCTCTAGTGACTAAATCTTTACAATAAATAAATTCTGAATATGAGCTACCTCCTATATTTGTTATAAAATAGATTCAAGTACAAATTATACATATTAAATGTAATGAATGATTAGGAAAAATGAGCTTTCTGTTTTCTTTTGGTTTCTCCTCTGTATGATGTTTATGTAACTTTTTACTTTGTGTTTGCTTATGAATTTTTAAGCTAGGTGATCCTGATCTTTTGATCTTTGCAATAGCTTTAATTAACCTGGAGTTTTAGGAAATGGGTTTTTTTTCTGTATGTGAAGTTGTGGCAGCTAATGCTCCTTTATTCTAAACTTAGTGGCTACCAAAAACTTTAAATTTTTTTAAACTTATTTTTACAAAATATAAATCCAATAAATGTCTATTAAAATAATGACTGTATAAAATGTTTCATTGTATTTTCCCATGTATTTATGTCATAAAACAAAATAATTAAAGCATTAAGACATAAAAAACAAAAAGAGATTGACTATCTCAGGAATATCCTTCTGAATATCAGTGATTCATCTTTTATTCAAGGATACCTCTCCTTTTACCAAGAAAAAAAGTAGTCATAACAATTCTGTAGTAATTGAGAGTAGTATTTAGTTTCTCATTAATTGATTTACTATTATATTATTGGTTGCAATGTGTATATTTTATTACTGGAACAGAATATGAATTCACCCAATGATAAAGAAGGTTGTTTTGTTTTTTTTTAAATAAATGGACATTAGTGAAATAAATAGAATTTTCTGGTAAGTTCAATTTAGTATACATTTTTGGTAATTTAAGTGGAAACACATTTAATGCTTCATTGAAATAAGTTCCTAGTGCACTTATTTTGGTTTCTTGGTGTTGAGGTTATATAGAAAAAACATTTACTGACATTTTCAAATGTCAGTGATTTATTTTGAGCATTTCCCTAGTATTCAATATTGCTGAATGTTTAAATGGTGCATGGTTTGTTTTATTTAAAATAATTTTCCTGTATCCAAGATTGAATATAAATTGGAACGAATAATGGCTATATTTGACACTAAACCTCTTTAAGTTATAGAAAACTTTAAAAATAATACATGAATATAGGAAACCCAACTAAAATGTTCTGGTTAGAAATGTTTCTAGCTGTTTATGTAAAGTGAAAATGAAAAATTAAAATTTGTTTTGTAAGTTCTAAAAATTAAGACAATAATCTTTAAACTTTTCCTAAAAAATTTCTGTAGCCAGAGTAGAAATTTGGGGAAAAAATGGTATGACTGGTGAATCTTTATAATAAATAAAGATTATTCAGCCAATATGGTTTCATGATATAATGTTAGAATTAATTTATCTTGGAGATTTCAAAACAACCTACTTAGAGTTTAATGAAGTGAAAATACAATAAGTCCATAGAGACATACCATTATGTTAAGAAGAAAAGAAATGAACTTCCATGGACTACTCCAATGAGAAATGATCTCGGACTTCAAAGTGAAGCACACTAAGTGTTAGTGGAAAATTGCACTGCCATTAAGGGCAATAGAAGAAAGTTAATTTTGATTTAAGCATGGACCTTTTCATTTTTTGTTATCTGTTTTAGGAATTCTATTAATTGACATAGATATTAAAAGGCAACTAAAATCAAGTAGGGAATAACTGATAAATTCTCATTTTTAGACATGTTACCTACCATTTGCAAAGTGAAAAAGGCAATACCTTGAATTAGGCTGCTTTTTAAAGCAGATACCATCTATAAGTAGTGAGATGACAATTATTGATTAGAATTATAGATTATACTTCAATGCCCTGATTTTCAGTAAAAAAATGGAGCTTGAGAGACGTCGTATAACCTTTATAAAAAAAAATTGAGGTGCAAAACCTGAAACGCTGAGCTCTTAATCAAGTATTCTTTGACATTTTTATATTTTACTTGTGGAAATTCCAAACAATCTGCATTTTGATAAAACTAAATACAACTTCAACTATTAAAAAATACATCACTTTTCAAAAACTGTCATAATCCATTTACATTATTACGAAAAGATTATAGATAGCAAATTACTTGTTCATGTGCTGTTAAAGAACATTTTGATGAAAACACTAGTGAAGAACATACTTGTGAAAGAATGTAGCATATAATGATTATATAAAACTTCCTTCAAAAACAAAATTGGTAGCCAGGTATGGTGTTGTGTGTCTGTAGTCCTAGTTACTCTGCAGGCTGAGGCAGAAGGATCACTTGAGCACAGGGGTTTGAGGTTACAATGAGCTATGATTGAACCACTGTACTTAAGCATAGGTGACAGAATGAGACCCTCTCTCTAAAAAAACAAAAACTAAAACAAAACAGGAACAAAAGTCAAAACCTTGTAACAAAAGTCTTTAAATATTTTCTAGGTTATAGGAAAAGAACTATATAAAAAAGGAGAAGAAAGAAGAGTAATCTTTTAAATGATATTTAGAATTTTCTCCTGTTTTTCAATATTAAAAATTTCAAATGTATCTAAAATTCTTAAATGAGGTTTTCTAAAATCTGGCATCAGGAAATACTTGTAAGTAATTTCCTATTATCCAAGTTGGACTTTAGAGTACCTACTTCTCTAATTAGTTCTCTACCCAGCTTAATTTAATATTCTACTAAACTCTGGGTAAAAGACTATATATTTTTGATATTTGTACCTTAACTTATCATAAAAAATCCAGGAATCCAACTATTCAAATATGAAGGTTTTTCTGCCCATTGCTTAAGTACCTTTTTTAGATTACTTATGGATTGGTCTTAGGGCACATTTTTTATTATAGTTACCGTAAGGTATACTAATCATATAATGACATTCGCCCTTACCTATTGTTTTATGGAATTATGGCACAGAGTATTTTCAAAATAAATTTTTTAAAAAGACCTCCTTCCTACAGGAAATGTCAACATCACTAGGAATTCCCAAATAGTTTTAAGACCTTACCCCATGCATGATTCATGAATTACAAGTATATTTTGAAAACATTAGTCTAAAACCTGAAATTTAACTGAATAGATAATATTTGGTGTGATTGATTGAAATAGCATAAGGAGTGTAGAGTTTTACATCTTATATGGACCATTGAACTTAATTCTAATTGGTTTCAGATTTCTAGTTTGTGGCATCTCAAAGTTTGCATGTATAATATGTAGTTTTCTGAAGACACGTGTGAGGTCTACCACAATAATTTTTCCTTATGACATTTTCATGGTGTGTCATCCTTATTTCAGGCTCAAATCGGTGGATTACTAGAACGTTTATTTCTATTTTGCTTTTCATTATAAACTTAGAAAAGATGAATGAACAAGAAAAATAAGTAAAAATTTATTTAGTAATAACTTAGAAAAGGTAATAAAGAAACTGTATAATTACCATGCTCTTTGTTGAACTAGAAAATAGGGCTAAAAGCATAAAATATAATACCCAAATTTTAAAAGCAGTGTTCTATATGCTGCTGGTACAGATATAACAGATACAACATTTTTTTCCCTTTTGTTTTAAAAGAAGTATACACATAGATTAAAGATGAATCCTACTTATGTGTGGCCTTAGAGTCTCTGCTATTATTTGACAAAAATGGGGGTGGGGGTGGACAGGTGGGAGAATGTTTATTTGGTTAAATATTTTATGATCTTTGAAAGTCTTGATTTAGTGATCCCACTTTTCCTTATGAAAAGTTTTCATTTGTCTCAGGTTTATATATTAATAGATATACCCAGAGTAATTATCTTCCTGAATTTTTAGGAGCAGCTTATTAAGATGAGGCAAGGTACTATCTATATTCTATAACCATGACTATAGAAGCAGAAAATGAATAATAGAGGTATGCCCAAGCATGCTAAGTCCTACCAGAACTTCCTATAACATAATACTTGAAGATATTTTTTGAATATTTCTGAAATATTAGTGTTTGAGATTTCCAAGAGTTGGAATTAATTGTACAGATGCATATATGTATAACAAGTAAATAAAATGCAACGGATAATTTTGACTTTTGTTAGGTTCTGAGCTTAAGCCTGTTCCTTTAATTCTTGCTTTATTTTTGTATCATGCTAGTCCTTTTGCTTATTTTGCACATTTGCATTTTCATTCTTTTACCACCTTTCCCTTATGTTTTAATCCTGCCCCATTTTTTCACATGACAGGAAAAAGCCCGATCATATCAGGTACCAAACTGGCTTCCTTCCCTTTCCCCTCATCTTACTCTGGTTTCCTTTTTGGCACGAGAAAGCTCATAATTAACCTGTATTTCAGTTGGATTACTTGCAATGGATAAAAAGTCTCTATGTTTTGAATTGGGAAGAAAATATAAATATTGTATTTGAGGAATGGAATTATGCCTTTTAATTGTATCAGTTTGTTTTAATGTATAAAATTATAAACATACTTTATGTGTTTATAATTATCCAAAGAAGATATGGATTGATGAATATCTTTTTTGATATCTTTTTATTGAAAAGGAAAACAAGCTAGTAAGCTCTTTTTAAAAATTGGAGCAGTAACTAGGATTAGTCCCTTTGGTAAAACCATATTAATTATGTTAAAAGAATACATTGTCAGTTCCTAGGCTTTTTTTGTTTACCATTTATTTTCCTTGTGAAAAAATAAATTAAGCTTGAAATAAAGGAGCAGACATGTTCAAGCTTTTAATTTTATCAAATGTTTACCTGTTTGGCACCTATATGAATGTGTAAATTAACCCATTGTCTATATATTTTTAGTGATAAAGCTTCTACAGATTTAGAAGTTTGACTTTTACTCCTGTTCTTGATTTCAAGTCCATTTCTGGGATTAGTGATCAAATACAATAAAAAGATACTCAATTTCTAAATTTATATATTTCTTCCTTTCCTGCCTAAATTTTGTCATCTGGAAGCTCTCATTGGTTTGTTAAAATTAATAATATTTAATTACTTATAAATTTAATATTTATAGTATAAATATTATATTTAAATGATATAATATTTAGAATTTAATAAAATAATTATTATATTGATTTATTTCAATTTGAGATAGGTATAAAGTGATATTTTTCTGAAGCAAAAAATTTTCCTATTTTGAAAACTGTCTTATATTTCGGCTTTGTGGTCAGTTGCTGACTCTTGTAGAATAAAGTTGTTAGCACAGTGCTTTCCAAAGTTTGTCTCTTTGGATCTAATTTTTTTTTTTTAAAGTACTTTCAAATGCAGGTACCAAGTACTTAAAATATTAAGTATTTTTTATATCTATATTGCATAGGCAGGCCATGAACTGTTTATAAGTCTCATTTTTCCTTTTCTTAGAAACATTAACAATAACTAGGATTATTCTATAGGAAGAATTAAAAATTATATTCCATTTTTACTTCCTTACCTGATTAAAATTTTGGTCAGTATAAGATGAGTATAGTTAGCTCTTTTTATTTATAATGGCAGGGGAAAGGAGATAGTGTCATAAGACATACAGATCTTAGTAATTCAAAATTTTTTTTCTACCTGGGATATATTATATAACTTTTTTCCTTAGAAGACAACAAGTTAAGATGAATTTATTTATATTATCTTTCCTGAGTGTATAAAAACTGATGATGTGATAATGTCACCCAGAAGCAGATAGGTGCCAGAAGAACTGGGTTTCAGAAATATATATGATCTGTATCATTAATCAGAGGTCTCTGACAAAAAACATAAATTTTTATCTAATATTTTGATGTTGTTTTTAGAGGATTTTGACCTAAGATGAAGTTGGTCAAAAGAAATTTGTTTTTTGATGACCTCAGAAGCATGGAAAGTTTACATAGTTATATGGGTGTTTTCCATTATTCTATAAAACTCCTTGTAGCTTTCATCAAATTATATAGTATGATTACTATAATATAAAACATGGATTTTTATTAATATGGTTCATCATACTTCAAATGATTTAAAAAAAACCACTTTAATCAATATCAGAGATTGTTTCCATTGCATGTCATCCCATGTGGCAGGGTTGCATCATTCTGTTTGTAGGTATTTCCTTTAACATTTCTAACCAATTATGTATCCCAAAGCAAAGAAACCCAGAAGTTCTTCCTTTTCTAGCCTGCCTCTTGATGATTTGCATTTAGAGGCAACCCACCTCATTTTATGTAGATGCTTATTTAACAAATCTCTCTATTTTAATGGTAAAGGTGATTCCTTTTTGAGTGGCAAGAAAACCTAACAGTCTGTCTAGTAAAAGGCTTAAAAATGGAAAAGCATCTCCTAATCATTTTCTCAGCTTTGGAGAATTAACTTAATTTTTTAAAAATAGAAATTCTAAATATATCTAAATACAATTTCTGGTCCTTTGTATTAGTATCAATGAAAAGGTAGAATCTCTATCAGCTAATTGATTAATAACTAATATTTACAATAGAAATCATCTCACATGAAACTAATTTTAAAATAATGACTCAAGTATTGTTTTACCTTTCATGCTTGATAAGAAGTTTTGCTTCCTTTTATGAATGGCTTTTGGCTGTGAATTTTTTTTTATAAGTCTTTAGGTCTTTTATTGTTTTAGTAAAATAGAAATAGTAAATATGCCATACAATAGCTTAGCTTTTTATTATAAAAAAGATTGCAAGTAAATTGTTTGCCTAATAATTTACAATAATGAGCAGAACCATATAAACAGTCGGGTGGATCATCTGTAGTAATAACTTTGATAATTTTGCTTAGAAGTATTTCATATAAAAGTAAGGCCAAGTTAATTTGTGATTATCTCCTGTTAGATATCAGTTCTAAACAGTTACTGAATTGTTTGCTGAAAGGTTAAAATTAAAGCACAGTTTATTTCAGTGTTTTATTATATGCATGTGGATATTTTTATTCACAATATGAATTTATTTCAACTTTATAATAAAAGCAATTATTTTGGTAGAATGATTTCAGTTATTTTTGAGGAACCTCAAAAAACTATAAATTTATACTGTAAAACAATTATTATTTGGTGATAACATAAATGATAACAGCTTTGGTTAGGATACAAATTTATGACATAAAATGAATCAAAATATAGTAATTTCATTTTCCTAATCTGTGGTTTAAAAATGCTTGTTTTTTACTTTCAGTAGTTACCCATATTGAAATCAGTTTATATAAAAGCAAAATGAAGCAGTGTACATCTTAAAACATAATTACCATAATCTGATTTCCTGTGTTTTCCCAAACATTTCATTTCTAAAAACAATGGAAGTAAATGATGTTTATGAAAACTCAACTTATTTTGTATTTATTTAGACGCTGGTTTTCAATACAGAACAATCAGTTGGTTTACCAGAAAAAGTTTAAGGTAGGTGTTTGGTTAAGTAATTGAGTGAAACATGAGTAAGTTCCCAATTTCAATTCTTTATCTGTTTGTCTTGGTATAAACATTGAAGTCCATAAATACTCTTGTGTGCAAAATTATTGTAATTATTGTTTATTAGTTTTATGTTTGAGCATGAGAGGACTCTAGAGTGGAAAATACCAAGATCTGATCCATAAAAGCAGAGTGATTTTGAATCCTGAATTCTTAATTCCTTGCTCTGAGATCGATTTTTCTCGGGATGTCCCAGGATTATATACTTTTATTTCTTTTTTAAAAAAATGTTTCAGGCCGGGCACGGTGGCTCATGCCTGTAATCCTAGCATGCTGAGAGGCTGAGGTGGGCAGATTGCCCGAGGTCAGGAGTTCGAGGCCAGCCTGAGCAAGAGCGATACCCCATCTCTACTATAAATAGAAAGAAATTAATTGGCCAACTAACATATATAGAAAAAATTAGCTGGGCATGGTGGCGCATGCATGTAGTCCCAGCTGTTCGGGAGTTTGAGGCAGTAGGATTGCTTGAGCCCAGGAGTTTGAGGTTGCTGTGAGCTAGGCTGATGCCATGACACTCACTCTAGCTTGGGCAACAAAGCGAGAGACTGTCTCAAAAAAAAAAAAAAAGTTTTGGTAGCTTTTTATTGTCGTATATTTGTTGTACATATCTTTGGGGTACATGTGATATTTTGATACCTGTATACAATGTATAATAATCAGGGTAATTGGGATATACATCACCCTATACATTTATCTTTTCTTTGTGTTGGGAACATTACAAATCTTTTCTTCTAGCTGTTTTGAAATATATGATTTCTTCCTTCCTTCCTTCCTTCCTTCCTTCCTTCCTTCCTTCCTTCCTTCCTTCCTTCCTTCCTTCCTTCCTTCCTTCCTTCCTTCCTCCTTTCCACTTCCTCCCCTTCCTCCCCTTCCTCCCCTTCCTCCCCTTCCTCCCCTTCCTCCCCTTCCTCCCCTTCCTCCCCTTCCTCCCCTTCCTTTGACATGGTCTCTACTTCGTCACCCACACTGGAGTTTAGTGGAGTGATCACTGCAACTCTGAACTCCTGGACTCATGTGATCCTCCCACCTCAGCTTCCCAAGTAGTTAGGACTACAGGTGCACACCACCATGCCTGGCTAAGTTTTGAAAAGTTTTTGTAGAGACTGGGTCTGCATTGCCCAGGCTGTCTTGAACTCCTGGTCTCACGCAATCCTCCTGCCTCAGCCTCTAAAAGGTGTGAGCCACCACTCCTGGCCCTTTTATTTCTTTATGTATTTTTTATGTCTAGTTGTGTGGCAGGAACAACATTACCATTCCATGGTAGTATTTTGAGGCTGGAGGAGACGGTGCCTTTTAAAAAATATCACCTTAGGGCAAAAGGTGGTAATATAGAAAGGTTAAAAATGGCATTAACTAAAATGTAAGCTTGAAGTAATTTAAATAGAAACACCTAAATTTGTTAATATAGTTTTTGTATATTTTTTTTCCTAAAACTTATTTTAAGGGTGAGGAAGTTTTATTTATTGGAAAGGCACACTGGAATATATGACTTGAGAATATTAAAAATAATTAGAAAAAGAATCATTAGTTAAAATTGATAACTTGCTTTTTACCTAATTAGCATTTATAAATAATATTCTGTCAACTGTAAATTTCAAATATCGACTTAACCTTGAGATGATATTATATGAAATTTTACTTGCTAGATTCTAAGGTGAGCATGTAGGTTCTACACAAGTCCTTTAATTTAGCCAGTAGTTCATAGTTTCCTCTATTCTGATAAACTTGGTTTTGAGTTTGTATTTTTATTAAGTAGTAGAATACGATAAAACCTTGCTCATTTTCTTAGGTGTTTTAAAAAGAAGTTATAGCTTCTTATCTTTCTTTGAGGTGTTCGATATTTGACTGATTAAAGACTTTTCTTTTGGAGGAAATTAGCTTTTGTTATATGTGAGTGGGGCCAGGAGAGTAATAGATATGAAAGAAAAAAGAAAAAAATTGACAGGAAGCTAATATTTATTGAGCATCTAAGTATCAAGTGTTGGACCAAGCTCTTTATATACACTATTTCATTTAATCCATACATAATAATTTTATGAGGCAGAGATAATTTATTAACAGGACAGAATTACCTTTATTTTTAAATCTATGTTGATAACCTTTATCTGTATCTAAAATAAGGTCAAGTATAAATAAATCTTTAAAATTAGACCAGTTATTCCAAGTAATATTTTTAGATATGTTATTATTATTGGTGGTAGTATTTGAAACCTAAGTTGTTAAATATGGAAATTTCATTTCCTTATTTGTAGGATAATCCTACTGTAGTAGTTGAAGATCTTAGGCTCTGCACAGTAAAACATTGTGAAGATATAGAACGACGATTCTGCTTTGAGGTGGTCTCTCCAACAAAGTAAGTGGTTCTAAAGAATCTGTGAATTGTTTTTATGCTTCTAGTTTGTCTTAAAGAACTTTTCAGAGTAGAGAAATTTGCATTTGACTGTGATTATCTGTGCTAAAGAGGAAGAAAATGTTTTAAAAATAAATTTAAATAATTAATCATTACAACTTCCTTCCTTTTAGAAGTTGTATGCTCCAGGCAGATTCTGAAAAGCTGCGCCAGGCATGGATTAAGGCTGTTCAGACCAGTATTGCTACTGCTTATAGAGAGAAGGGTGATGAATCAGAGGTTAGTAGAGGTATTAGCAATATCAAATGACATAGTACCAAAAGTTCTTAATTTTACGGTTACTTAAAACATTATATAATTTTAACATCTTTTTTAATGAAGGATGATTATATGTAATTGAAATGAGTTTTATTTTTAAAATCTGGATTTAATTTCTATTTTATTTCTCTTGATTTTTACCTATCATTTTATTTTAATATTTGAATATATGTTTATTTTAATATTTGAATATATGTCTCAGATTGGAATAAGGTATAGCAATATCAGTATTTTTCACCAAAATATTTTATTATTTTAATTAACTATAAAATAAAATAATAATCATGAAAAGTATTTGAAATTAAAACTGAGGAAAAGCAAAAAAGGAAAGTACAATATTGTCTCTTAGTTGAAGGCTCCTTGGAAAATATAAGCTGAATATGGAATCTTGGGTGATAGTCTGGCTTTAGCCTCCCAAGAATTTACACACTTTTTTGGGCAAGGCCATGAGTGAGTTTTGAGAAATGGAATTCATTACTTTTGCATCATCTGGCAGGACTGTGGCATAGGTTTGGTGATAGACAGGTGTCAGGGGGAATGGATTGTTCTCTAAATTGTATTTCAAAGGTCATGATGGCCAACTTCCAGCTCTCAAGAGTAGATAAAAGAACTCTTCCCAAGCAGGAAGTGTGGGGACTCACTTGATGTAAGCTACAGGACATAGAGAGGAAAGTAGAAATTTCTTAAGTGGTCAAGTTCATCTGGGGTACACTGTTGGGTACAAATGATGAGAACATTGACAAAGGGCGTGTTGGCAAAGCTGAAGTTCCATATTCAGCTTATGTTTTCCAAGCAACCTTCAACTAAGAGACAATATTGTACTTTCCTTTTTTGCTTCTCCTCAGTTTTAATTTCAAATACTTTTTATGATTATTATCTTATTTTATAGTTAATTAAAATAATACTGATATTGCTATACCTTATTATTGCTATACCTTATTATGTTTGTCTGTAGAATCATACTTCTTCGGTCTGCACCACTTTCCCCATAAGCCTGCAGCATAGCTATTAGTTTGGAATTTCCTTACATAATCATTTTTGAAGATTCTTCTTTTTCCTATATCCCATATATTTTTCCTTCTTCAGAAAAATGTAAGTGCTTTCTCCAGTAGTTTCCTGAAAATGAGATATTTGTGATTCTATGAATGTCTGAAAATGTCTTTCTTCTGTCCTTATATTTGATAGTTTGGCTGGGTATAGAATTTTTAGGTTGGAAATAATTATTCTGAAGAATTTTAACAGCATTGTTTATTTGTTTAGTTTCCAGTATTGCTACTAGAGCTTTTTTCATTTCTGATCTTTTCTATTTCTCCTCTCCAGTGTCTCTGTTTTTTCTTCCTGGAATTTCTGGACTGGTATTATGATATTCGTGTGTGTGTATGTGTGTGTGTGTGTGTGTCTGTGTGTGCTTTGCTCTACTTTCTGGGAAATCTTCTCAGTTAATCTCCCAAGCCTTCTATTGAATATTTCAGTTCTTGCTAGCACACATTTAATTTCCAAGAGTTTCTTTTTGTTCCCTGAATGTTTATAAATATAAATCTGTTCTTTTCCATGGATTCAGTGTGAGACCTGTGGTTCTCAACCTTGACTGCTCATGAAAAACATAGGAAGCTTTAAAAAAAATCCCAATGCTCAGCCAGGCACAGTGGCTCATGCCTACAATCACTTTAGGTGGCTGAGGTGAGAGGATCACTTGAGGCTAGGAATTCAAGACCAGCCTGGGCAACATAGTGAGACCTCATCTCTACAAAAAATTAAAAATTAGCTGAATATTGCCTGTAGTCCTAGCTACATGGGAGGCTGAGGCAGGAGGATTGCTTGAGCCCAGGAGTTCGAGGTTACCGTGAGCTACGAGCAAGCTACTGCACTCCAACCAGAGCAACAGAGTGAGACCCTGCATCTTAAAAAAAAAAAAAAAACAAAAACCAAATCCTGGTGCTTAGATGCTACCCTAGAACAACTGAATAGAGTTAGGACCCAGGCATCAATATTTTAAAAACCTTCCTAAATGATTTCCATGAATAGCCAAAGTTGAGAACTGTTGTAGTAGAGGCTTTCTTTGGCTATCTGTTAATCTGCACATGATTATAAGTTAGGGATAAAAACCTCTTTAGAAGCTCTGAACAAATAGTTAGGATTTTGTCGACTGTGTGAGCTTCAACTAAATCTAGATCATTTGTTGAGGAATGAGCATAGTCAGGGTCTTTTGGTGTCTTCTCTGCTGGTATGATTTCCCAGGGAAGACTCCCTGATCTCTTGCATAGGGTTAAGGGACTGGCCCAGCCCTAAGTGCTGCTATCTCAGCATTTGGTATGTATATGTTCACTTAATCTCCTGCCTTAATCTTCCATTTTCTAGATGAATCCCATCTAGACACTCCTCCTAGTGGCATGTGGTTGGGAAGGGATCCCTGAGATGTAACTGCTTCTTAAACAATCATTTCTCCTACTTTCATGAATAGGTGTCATGTTCAATGCTGTATTCCTTGAGGTGGCTGGCCCAAGTTATGCTGTGTTATTGTACTTAGCTTTTAGCTTCTCTGATTTGGTGCAAAAACATTAATTACCATATAGAGAAAAACTGGTAATGAACCAACATAATTTTTGTATTATAATGCTGTCATCCTTTCCCTAGAGGATCATTGCTTATGAGCTAATTCACATTATCAAACATGTTCTGGTAAAACAGATTATATTTCTTTTTTTAAATTTTGAAATAATCTCAAACTTGCAGAGAAGTTCCAAGTACAATACAAATAACTTTTCTCCTGAATCATTTGAAAATAAATTTCCAACAACACGATGCCCTGTCACCTGCCATTACTCTGATGGAGTACTTCCCACAACCTAGGACATTCTCCTATATAATTGCAGTACAGCCACCAAAGTCAGGAAATGAGCATTGATATGTTACTACCATGTAATTCCCAAACATCATTCTAATTTTAACAATTGTCCCAGTAATGATCTTTATGGCAAAAAGATTCTGATCCAGAAGACAGGTAGCATGTAGTTGTCATGTGTCTTTAATCTCCTTCAGTCAGGAATAGTTCCTCAGTCTTACCTTGACCTTCTTGACCTTGATAGTTTTGAAAATTATAGATTAGTTATTTTGTAGAATGTCTCTCCATTTGAGTTTGTCTGATGTTTACTCACAAGGTTATGCATTTTTGGCAGAAATATTATATAAATGATATTGTGTTCTTTTCACTTCATCCTCTCAGGAGACACATGATTTTGATTTGTCCCATTATTGGTGATGTTTGATCTTTTGATTAACGTGGTGTTTTGCTATACTTCTCTACTGTAAGAATAATCTTTAACCTTTGTATGTAATGAGTATTTTGTGGGTTAGGTGCTTTGAGACTTCCATTTGGTAGAGAATTATATTTAGAAACCAAGATAAGAGTTACAGCGTTTGTGTATACATATATGCACATTTACATCTATATTTCTTTATATATTTATTTATATTGAAAACTGGCCATGTGCAGTGGCTCATGCCTGTAATCCTATCACTTTGGTAGGCTAAAATGGAAGGATCACTTAAAGCCAGGAGTTTGAGACCAGCTGGGCCATAACAAGACTCCATCTCTACAAAAAATAAAAAAATTAGCCAGGTGTGGTGGTACATGACTGTAGTCCCAGCTACTCAAGAGGCTAAGGCAGGAGGATCGCTTGAGCCCAGGAGATGTGAAGGTTACAGTGAGCTGTGATCACGACACTGCACTCCAACCTGGGTGGCAGAGTGAGATTCTGTCTCAAAAAAACAAAACAACAACAACAAAAAAAACAAAAAAAGGAAGGAAGGAAGGAAGGAAGGAAGGAAGGAAGGGAGGGATGTCGCGCCCGCCTCGCCAGCAAGGAAGACGCGGCAACAGGAGTTCTTCTGACCGTGCTTTAATGGGGTTCCCTTTAGACTTACATGATGCGAAAGACCCAGCCCGGCAGCGTGCAAGCCGCTATATACTCCAGAAGTACAACCCCTAAGCTGCGATAGGCCGCTCAACTGTCGAGCCACCAAAGCATTAGCCCATATCAGGACCCTTTGTTTGCATTCTCGCGCCACAGGGCAACCGACAATTGTGCGTGCGCTGAACTTGTTAGCTGCTCTAGGCAAAGCCGGAAACAGGCGCCAACTTGTAATGGCGTTGACACCGCGCCCCACAGAGGGAGGGAGGGAGACAGGGAGGGAGGGAGGGAGGGAGGGAGGAGGAGGGAGGGATGGAGGAAGAGAAGAAAGGAGGAAGGAAACCATTAAATGCATGCCTATTGGTATCTCTAGTTCTAATCTAACAAGATTCGTTCTGGTTCTCTGTTTTCATATAAATAATTCCTGTCTCTGCATTGAGAAATCTGGCTCCTATTTATCTTTAACATGTTTGCTTATATGATTGATCCCCCTTTATGTCACCAGTATCCTGTCTCTGTTGCCACCTGCCCCCAATCTTGTCCTCTCATCCTTCTTATCCCACTGAGGTTCTGACACCTCATACTAGGTAGCACTCCTGTTACTACTTAGATATACTTAGATGCTTTCCTCTCCCTACTAAAGCTCCTATTTCCCTTGCTGGGCTGCTGCACTAGACAGACATTCTCCTTAACCTGCTTGGGATCCAGCAACCTGCGCAGGGTTAACCTACCTCATGTGGATACATTCCTCAGTCAACCCAGTCCTCTAGAATACTGTATCCCCACACTTACTTGCGGAGCCCTATCTAATTGCTCTTGAATTGAGTTTTCAGGAAGGGGAAGACAAGAGCCAAATTATATTTCTATTGATTCTGTACTCACATACTGGCTTGTTGAAATTGGGGTGTTTTTAAACCAGAAGGCATTTTATAGACCGTATCTTTCATTGCTTAGGATCTGTGAACCACATCTTCGTATTTAGTCATTGTGGCAATGTATAGACAAGTGTTTATTAAATACTCTTTATTGTTGGCATAGACTTTGCTGTGCACTTAAAAAATTAACTTTTTGTTTATCAGCCATCTTTTGCTTTTCCCCTGGTTTACCTAATATCACTTGAAATTTTAAACATTGTGTGTTCTATTGTTGATTCACTCTTTAATCATAATTATGTAGTTGATCTGTTCTTTAGTATTTAACTATATACAACCATACTTTTTCTAGTTATTCACTGCAATAATTAAAATAACTTGCTTACAGTTCATTGAACACCTTGGAAAAATATGGTATAAAATAATTATTTTATTCTTAAAATGAATTATTAGTCTTAATAGTCTTAGCTCTATTCCTTCTCTCTCCCATGCTGCTTGTTAAACTAGTGTTCCGAACCCCTTCTCTCTGCCCTCATATCTTGTACATATGTTCATTATATCAGTTATTATATATAGTTTTAAATGTTTATATGATTCTCCCCACTAGACTAAAGGGCCATTGATAGAAGAACCTATATCTTTTTATTTTTGAATCTCCAGTGCCTAGAATAGTGCCTGGCTTATGTTCATAATAGGCTTTTCATTTATGATTAAGTTTTTGTTTGAAGCATATAGCATATAATCTTTTTAAAAAAAAACAATTCTTAATTCTTTTAGAAGCTGGATAAGAAATCATCTCCATCCACAGGAAGTCTAGATTCTGGAAATGAATCAAAAGAGAAATTATTGAAAGGAGAAAGTGCTCTGCAGCGGGTCCAATGTATCCCTGGCAATGCCAGCTGTTGTGACTGTGGTCTGGCAGACCCTCGGTGGGCCAGCATCAACTTGGGCATCACCCTGTGTATTGAGTGCTCCGGGATTCACCGGTGGGTAGGCCTGCCTAGAATGAAAGACTCCTTCTTTGGATAAACACGCTTTGGAAATTATCATGTGCCGTTTGTTAGAGGGCCTTTTTCACTGTACATGTTAAAAAGTGTCTAAAATTCTAGTTTGTAAAGTGTTTTTGAGGACTTTGGCTCACCATTCATTATGAACCAGATCTGTCCCTATTTTTATGTGTGTTAAGGGCTATAGTGGCTGGGTGTCATGGCTCACGCCTATAATCCTAGCACTCTGGGAAGCCAAGGTGGGAGGATTGCTTGCTTTCAGGAGTTTAAGACCAGCCTGAGCAAGAGCAAGATCCTGTCTCTACCAAAAATAGAAAAAATTAGCCAGGCATGGTTATACACATCTGTAGTCCCAGCTACTTGGGAAGCTGAGGCAGGAGAATTGCTTGAGCCCAGGAGTTTGAGCTTGCATTAAGCTGTGATGATGGCACTGCATTCTACCCGAGGTGACAGAGTAAGACTCTGTCTCAAAAAAAGGGGCGGGGGAGGCTATACAGAGACTTTTAGAGACTCACATTCAAAGAGAAAAAGAAAAAGAATTTGCACAACTATGCAAAATAAAGTAAAATAGAGTGGAAACTTGATAGTTTTACCTATTAATATTGTCTTCTTTTTTCTACTTAGGAGTCTTGGGGTTCATTTTTCTAAAGTAAGATCTTTGACTTTAGACACCTGGGAGCCAGAACTTCTAAAGGTAAAATAAATATTTGCATAAAAATATTTCATATTTTCACATATAAGTGAAGAGTTTAGAATCTTAGTTTACAAATATATGAGTTCCTCATGCTAACAATGAAATAAATTGTATTGGAACATATTTGAGGTTATTTTGGCAAATCTAGTGTTTTCATAATAGGTTTTTAAAATTGCTAAGTTTATATAGCACTCTTAATTCCAAGTCAGTTCACTCTTTAAGAAAACCAGTATTCCTACATTTTTGTGTTTTTTCAAAAATTATCTTAGATTTTATGCCTTAATTTTAATCATTTGTAATTAGATTTTTTATTAAAAATAGATACATTGCCATACTATAGTTTGTAATGGGTTGGCATAGCTTTTGGCACCATTGGGTTATTTTAGCATAGGACTGTTTGCAAATTTACATTTGTCAGGCTAGGAGGCATCAAACCAAGTCATCCTTGTTTTTCCTGTTTCTAAGAATTTATATCTGTGAAACTATCACAGATAATTTTAGGCCACTGCAGTGTTTCTGATAAGATTACAAAATTCCTAACAGTTAAGAGTATACTCCTTTTAATTCCCACCATCTAGTTTACCATATTGTAGAAAATAGATTAGTTTAAGGGTTGGCGTATACACTGATTTATTTCTGTCTGAAAATTGTGTTTTTAATGTATTTGTGTTTTTATTTCAATCCATAGATAAACCAGTAAACCTGTCAATTATGTGAAAAATTTGCTTTGTGGAATTATTGTGTAAAGATTTAAATAAAAGTAATAAACTGGCCCCTTAGAGCCCTATTTAGATAGATTCTACAAATTGTTATGAATTCAAAGGAGAAGAAAGTGGGAGATGAGGGACAAGAAGCTAATTTCTGCATCAACTTTGTGTGTAGATAAGAATTGAGCGGATTCAATGTAGAAAATTTGGTCGAAACACATTTATCTAATAGATTTTAAAAATGTGGGTGAAACTTTTAAGCAAAGTATTTTGAAATACTTAACATAAAGATTATAATGAGAAAATAATTTACTTTAATTTGGAGTTGTTTAAAACTTTACATGTCTTATCTTAGGCTTATTTTTAAAATTAATTTACCAAACATTGTGAATAATGTGTAGCATTGTGCTAGCCATAGTGGAGGGGTAGAAAACTAGTAGAAGATGGGTTCCATTCTCTCAAGGAGCTTAAAGTCATGTTGGGGAAAGAATGCAGATATGAATGAAGACTTTAGATAACAGATATAAACACCTGATATCTTAGTTCAAATTTTAAATAATGGAATTATTAATGAGGATACTTAAGAAAGAAGGAAGTACTTTGCATCAGGTCTTTTTAGAGGAAAGTAAAATTATAACCCAGGAAAAATATAGAGCTTCAAATAAGTAAAACTTACATTGTAAAAGATTGGAAACAGGACAGTAAATAGAATATTAAGAGAATTCCTTGAGAAGAAATGGGAGTCAGATGGTATTACTGGAGAAACTAGTGTGCCACAATACTGAGATTTGATTTGTATGTCTTTATTCTAGAAGTTTAGGGGAGGAGATAGGAAAATATTTTTCTTTGGGCAAGTATGTGTAGGGAAAAGGAATAATTGGATGTAATTAAGGTAAAGTTTGTAAATCTTTAATTATTTTTTTAATTAAAATAACATGTATCAAAGGTAAGCTTTAAAATAATTGTTAAGTAAAAGGAAAAAAGCCTCTCAAAACAGTAACCACCATCTTCTCCAAAGTTAACTATTTTTAATATTTTGCCAAATATTGTTCTAGACTTTTATTTTGTCCCTGTATGATATCTGAAAAATTTTAAAGAAAATTATAAAATAATAGTATATAATACTAAAATTTTGAAAAGTAGATAATAATTCCTATAATTTATTTTTCTTAATAGAATTTGTTTTTTTGCTGAAATTCACTAATTTTTAAAAGAATGTTTTATAAATTTTAATTATAGTGACATGTGAATTTATTTGGCATATAGTAAAAATGTGTGCCTAACTCTTGATATTTTTTCCAAATTCTTAACTAACTTTCTTAGCATCAGTATTGAACAATCCTTCCTTTTCCTATCATTTTTTTTTTTTTTTTTTTGAGACAGAGTCTCGCTTTGTTGCACAGGCTAGAGTAAGTGCCGTGGCATCAGCCTAGCTCACAGCAACCTCAAACTCCTGGGCTCAAGCAATCCTGCTGCCTCAGCCTCCCGAGTAGCTGGGACTACAGGCATGCGCCACCACGCCCGGCTAATTTTATATACATATATTAGTTGGCCAATTAATTTCTTTCTATTTATAGTAGAGACGGGGTCTTGCTCTTGCTCAGGCTGGTTTCAAACTCCTGACCTCGAGCAATCCGCCCGCCTCGGCCTCCCAGAGTGCTAGGATTACAGGCTTGAGCCACCGTGCCCGGCCTCATTTTGTTATTTCCTCTTTGCCCTATGTTAAATTTTTATAAGTAGGCTTCTGTTTTGTCAATTCTCATCCAGTGATGTATTTATTGTCTCATAGTACCAGATTTTTTAAAAGGCTATTATGTAATTTCTAGTATCTTTATAAAAATGAAAAATGTGGTATATAAAACTAGAAGTATTAATTGCTCAAAGAAGGAAATAGCACATTTAAAATTTACAAGAGGTAGCTGGGCTGTGGATTCAAGGGAGAGAAACTCACAGAGGGAGGGGTAATAGAAACAAGGGAAGAAAACCATGACAGAGAGGGATGTCGCAGAAGTAGTGGATCCTTAAAACGATCACGCTTAAGGAAAAGGGAAGAAAGGAAAACCATTCTCTCCTGGCTGCCTATTGTACACTTTTAGAGAGTGACCTTCCCATACTTTGTTCCTATTCATGGATCCAGATAGCATTTTTATTCTCTTGCTGTCTCAGCCCAGGCCTTCCCCTCTCCCACCAACTCACATGTCCCGACACCTTATAACTACTGGTCATGTCTTCCTAGTTTATATGCAGTATCTCTTTTACCCAGATATAATTTTTCAGGGAAATGGTTTGTGTGATCTGTATCTTGACATCATAGGCATGTTTGCTATAGGGGTCAAGCCTGGAGTTGGGCACAGCTAAAAACATGGGTTCCATTTTCTTATCTTAATTATCCATTCATTATCTTAATTAGCTAAGAAGCTACAGATATAATTTGTTAGTGAGGTGAGGAGAGCTTGAACTGAATTAAAGACGTGAATGGACAGATGGAAAGAAAAATCTAAATGATTTTGAAGTTGGTTGTTATTTGGAGACAGAACACAAGGAGAGGTAAAAGTCCAAAAATAATTTTAATAATGTCATAAACTTTGTAGATTTTTAATATTTTGAGGAATTATAAGTAAAAACTGAAAAGAATAGATATTTAATTTATTGTCCTAAGACTGACAAGTACTTGCTATACATTATGGTATAGGTAATACTTTGCCATGCTTCTTGCCTTACTATGTACATACAGGTGTAATAGTTGTGATATGTAGATAGGTAGATAAAAAGAAAGAATCTGGTAGGGATGATAATCTTCTGGGGAGATTTTCTGGTAAAGAATGGCAAAGTGATAATATTGCTGTCAGTTCTTGTTTCATTTTATTTTAACTTTAAACTTCTTTGTGGAATGAGCGATTGCAGAATATGCAAGGGAATTAGATGTACTTGCTTTAAGGACTTTTAAATTTTAGCTTATTTTAAGGACTTTATAGCTTATTTTTCTATTTTCTTGACAAATAGCTTATGTGTGAGTTGGGGAACGATGTTATAAATCGAGTTTATGAAGCTAAAGTGGAAAAACTGGGAATAAAGAAACCACAACCAGGACAAAGGTACTATTTCAGTTGTCTTAATGTGCTACCTTTTTTCTCTAATCAGGAATATAGCTATGATTTTATTTCACTATAGTAACTGACATGTAACCTTGAGACAATGTTTAGAAGTAATCATTACGGCTTCTGTTCAAATGTGGCTATCTCTTGAGTAGATAATTTTTTGAATAGATAATTATATTGTATTGAGCAGATAATCAATTATAATCTCTAGAGGAAAGAGAATCTTAAAAATTAAGGACTTACATAGGAATCTGAAAGCTCTTAGCAGTTAAAATAAACCAAAGTTCTGTTAGTGGTAGGCATTCAAAAAGGGACAATCTGTTCATAATGAAAGGATCAAGTTTCTGCAACCTACAATGAATAATTTTACTTTGTTTGACTTAGTTTAGCAAATATTTATTAATCACATACTTCATGCATGGCATTATAATGTTGAAGAAACAAAGATGAAAAGGGTACTTCTGGTAGGGGAGACTGCTTAATTGCTGTGTTTGAAATTACACTTCCAATTCTATATACATCGAATGAAGTGGGTAAGAGTCGGTGCCTTCAAACCCATAATTTTGGTTATTGAAGCTGTTTTTAGTCTTTACAATTCTTTATTTTAAGCATTAAATTTTTATTTGCCATAATCCTATGTTAAGATTTTGTGTTTGACTAAATATTTGTATATAATCAATACTATTTTAAAGTTACCACTCTTTAAACCAATTTCATTTAAATCATAATCTTAATTATTTGCTAAAGTATGACTGAGTTATTTCAGACCTTGAATTATCTCTCTACTTTAGTCAAAGACCTAAGCATTTTAAAAGTATATAAGTAGGAAAAAGTATAGGACATGGCATTTTATGACTATATCATAAATCAAAGATTTTAAAGTGACATGTATGTTATTTTAACGTAGTTGTCTTATGAAAAATTATGGCCATCAATAGTGATAGTTCAGTATATGCCATTATTTCTTCAAGGAAAAGAAAATTAAAGTTGATTTCTATAAATTTTTTTAAGTTTTCCTGGTAATGTTTTTCATTCTGTAAAAAGCATGAGGGTGTATGTTATAGAAGTGAATGAGCATAAAAATTAAGACAGTAAAAGAGTGCCATGTTAATACTTGTGATTTTTTGGTTAGGTTATTGTTTATATTTATTTAAGTGCAAAATCATAGTTCATGAAATATTTCGAAGGAAAACTTGTATAATGTCACAGATTAAGTTTTAACTAGTATTAGATTTAGTGACTTTGTTTGAAAATATTCAATACATAATAGCTTCTTTTCTGTATTAGCTACGCTAAGGGATTAAACAGAACATGATGACATGTTTTTATGTATACCAGACAGGAGAAAGAGGCATATATCAGAGCAAAATATGTGGAGAGGAAATTTGTGGATAAATACTCTGTAACATCATCACCTCCTGAGCAGGAAACAAAGAGTGTCTCCAAAAGTTATGAAGAAAAGAGGCTGAGCATTTCTAAACTTGGGCCAAGTGACCAAGTCAGAGCATCTGCCCAAAGTTCAGGTATTGTAACTTCCTTCTTGTGTATGCAGATATTTTCTTAAACTGAAGTCACTTTCTTAATCCCTGAATTAGTAGTCATTGTAGGTTTTTTAAATGCTAAAAACCTGTGTCCTTCTACATATTCTAGGGAAAAATTGGATTTCTATGACTTTAAAACTGTTAAATTTAAATAGTGCCATGCTAATTCACATTTCTAGGTAATGTATATATTCTAAGGAATAAAATTGCTTAAACTGCAAGGGAAGATGGGAATTATAATCTGTCATTCCAAAAACCCTAAGTATCTGATTAACTGCCTGATTTCCTTCCTATTTTTTCCTCCTAAATTTTTCCCAGTAACGTTTTTTTCCTGCCCTTTTCCCTTCTTATGGCCTGCTTTGTGCTTTGCTAACTTGCATGTCCCCAGTGATTGCTGTAAATAGCGACGAGGCCAGGCGGGAGTCTCTGTTCTGTCCTGATGAGCTAGATTCACTCTTCTCCTACTTTGATACTTCTTCAAAACTGCGTAGTAGTAAGTACTACTCTTGTGGAGCATTCCAAGTCTGTGCCAGTGGTCATTGTGCGGTGTGGCCATTTCTCTAGATGTTACCCATTGTCTCAGGATTACACATTACTTACAATCATACAATAAATTAAGCTCTTTACTATCCCTGACATATTATGGGGGTAATGAGATGTGTTGTAACTCTGAAAATAAATTCATTTTCAGACTTTGTGATTGATTTATATCTTGATAAGCTAAGTGTCCAAAAGGTTTAAAATTGTATTAAAGGTATTCTGCTGGTGGTGCCTGAGTTCATGTTGACGTGTAAGAGCTCATTTTAAAACCTTGTTTGTGGGAGATTGTTTTCTAAGTGACGTGAACTTTAATCACTAGCCAATTTTTTCTTTAAAACAGTCAAAAGTAATGACAGTGGAATTCAGCAGAGCTCTGATGATGGAAGAGAATCTTTACCCTCCACAGTGTCAGCCAATAGTTTATATGAAACTGGTGAGTTTTGATGAAATTCAATGTTAATTGAATTTTATTATCCAATAATTATTATTATTTGCTGAAAACGTATGTAATAAATGCCTAGTCTTGATGAAATAGTTTCTAAGAGAAGTGGTTAGTCTTCTAAAAGGTACTAAGGGAAGAGTAATACTTCTAAATGGGAAAGCAGCTATTTCTCTTTATATTTGGAAGTTCTCTCCTAGTTGTACGTCCTTCCAGGCCTCATGATATGTGTTAAAAGTGCCTTTCCAGTAGCTGAAAGTAATTTTTAATATACACGAACTGTGTATCTTATTATTCTTTATCTTTTCTTCTCAAGAGAAAGAGATCATCAGCTCCCTTGTCACTAGATTTTCCTTCTGACCTTTGCATTTTTTCTGTATTCTATCCTCGTGATTTCATGGTTTTGATCCCGCAGCGTACTTGGGGGAATAAGCATTCTTCACATTCTTTGAACTGCGTATAGTGCAAATTGTGATGATATTGTACCATCCTAGGAATGAAGTGAGGTTTAGTAGTAAAATTCTTTAGGGTTTCTTACTGCTTCTTAAGTCCAAGCTTATAGGAATATAACCAATTTTAATCTAGTATAGAGTAATTAACCTATCCATTACATACCGGTAAAACCAGAAAGGCTTAGCATACCAGTTGATGTCTTTATGAAGAGAAGAAGTTTGAATGTTTGGGGTGTGATTATTCTATGGGAAATAAGATATCTATGTGAAAATCTCCCACAAACTCATTTTGATAGATTAATGGTTTCTTATGTCACAACTTTCACATTGTGATAAGGTTAAGAGTTCATTTATTAATATTTTTAAAAATTTTGGCAAAATAACACATAACATAAAATTTACCATCTTAACCATTTTTAAGTGTACAGTTTGGTGGCACTAAGTACATTCACACTGTTGTGCCACCATCACCACTGTCCATTCACAGAACTCTTTTCATCTTGTAAAACTGAAATTCTACTTATTAAACAATTTTTCCCCCTTGAAGAGCTCATTTTTAAAAACTATAGTTATTATATGACTTTCAATAAGAGCTTATTTTTATTGAGGTATTTGTATTTCCTTTTCAGAAGGGGAAAGGCAAGATTCTTCTGTGTTTCTCGACTCTAAACATCTTAATCCAGGACTTCAGCTTTATAGGGCTTCATATGAAAAAAACCTTCCTAAAATGGCTGAGGCTTTGGCTCACGGTGCAGACGTGAACTGGGCTAATTCAGAGGAAAACAAAGCAACACCGCTTATTCAGGCTGTATTAGGGGTATGAATTTATACATTGACATTTTCAGTGGTAGTAAAACATAAAAAATCATAATACATTCTGAACATGGCTGTAGTATTATGTTTTGCTTTAAGAGATGAGTTGGAAAGTAGAAGGAGCCTCTGTGCAGCTATTAGTGATTTCTGAGCATTACTTTGATTATTTCAGATTTTTTTTTCATAATAGAAGAAAATTCTGATACTGAAAGTATGTAGTGTATTTTGCTAGTTCACAAACTGCAAATGAATCCCTCATAGAAGCTGTTCTTGGGAAGAAAATAATATAATTTATCATTTCTCTGCTTTTGGGGAGAATGAAATGGAAATGCTTTTTGAGTAAAGTAAATAAAACTATACTATTTTAGAAATGGAATTGTATTGCTGTGTTTTGTTGTTTGCCTTTGTACATTGTTAATCCTTTTTTTTTTTTTATTTTTTTTATTTAAGGGCTCTTTGGTGACATGTGAATTCCTCCTACAGAATGGTGCTAATGTGAACCAAAGAGATGTCCAAGGACGGGGACCACTGCACCATGCAACCGTCTTAGGGCACACAGGGTAACTATAGTGCTTAAATATTTAAGTAGATTTTATTTCAAAAATTATTTTGAACTAATGTTTTTTTTTTCCCAAATTAAATCATTAGGTAGTATTTGTAAAGGGATGCATTCCTGTGACTTATATTGTCATGATGGCATTTGAAAGTTAAAAAATCTTATTCAGAATAAAGCTATTATTAGTTTTCAGCTATGAAAATTGCAAAGCTTACTTCAACCTTAACTTGTCGTTCAGTAGATCAGTTTTAGTATTTAACCTCCTCTGTTACTGAAGTTGTGGTGATTTTGTCAGATAACTTAATTCTGTGTTTACGTGCATTTATGTTTGTACACATATGTTATCTACATAGCTTGTACACACCCAACCTATTTTGGGAAAATTTTGTAACTTTTCAATTTTATTTTTTTCATGGGGTAGCTAAAGTCAAATTCTAAATTAAATTCTTAGTTTGGGCTTTTGACATTGTGGCTTCTAGAGCAACATTAAGACTCACTATAAAGCCATAAAAATGGACTTTCTATTAGAAAATATAAATGAAGTCAAGATGTTGGCCTTATATGGAAAGTTTGTGTCTTAAACGATTATTTTTTAATAAAACATCTCAGGGTCTCCCATTATTATTACCTGGATAAGCAAGAAGCTGTTCTTTTTTATGTTTTTTTAAATAGCATCTTTTATTTTTATCATAACATGTTTTCTTTCCTTCTATCAACAAAGAGATTGTGTTCAATAACTTCATCATAAAATTTTTCTATACTTAAAAAAGGTAGTATTTAAGGTAACTCATCCTTTGTGTTTTCTTCTTCCTCCCCCCCCCCCTTTTTTTTGAGACAGTGCCTCACTGTGTTGCCCAGGCTAGAGTGCTGTGGTTATTCACAGCTACAATCATGGTGCATTATAGCCTCCAACTTCTAGCCTCAAGCAATCTTCCCATCTCAGCTTCCTGAAAAGCTGGCACTACAGCCACCTTGCCCGGGCCGTTTTTCTTCTTTAACTATCAAAATTCTTCCTATTTTATTTTTCGTAGACTCTAGTCACCTATTCTTTCATTTTTTTTCTTCTTTTTTGAGACAGAGTCATCTTGCTCTATTGCCCAGACTAGAGAGCAGTGGCATCATTATAGCTAGCTGCAGCCTCAAACTCCTGGGCTCAAGCAATCCTCCTGCCAATCCTCCTGAGTACCTAGGACTACAGGGGCACGCCACCACTAATTTTCTATTTTTTGTAGAGATGAGGGTCTCCCTATGTTGCTCAGGCTGGTCTCAAACTCCTGGGCTCAAGCGATCCTACCACCTTGACCTCCCAATATGTTAGGATTACAGGAGTAAGCCACTGTGCTCAGCCTTTTTTCCTCCATTTTTGTCAGTTTCTTCAAGATATGAATGTTTGTGGAGTATAGCAGGAAGATTTTATTTTCTACTCTTTGATGTTGTATTTTCATGAATATATTATGACATTTACCTTGCCTTGGCTTTCTTCATTCTGAAATAATGATTTTGAGTGACCTTTCTTTTGTTTAAGTTTATATTAATAGGTACCTGTATACATCTTTTTAGGATATTTGTTGAGGGTAGGGATCATAATTTATATATTCCATAATGCCACATAGTACTAGATTAAATAAAATAATATATATGAAAACACCTTGAGATGTGTAAAAACGTTGATCTTGGTAAATTATTATTAGTCAGTGTTTGATAAATATTTGTGGAATGAATCAAGAATTTCCGTATGAAAATGTTATTTCTTTAAGGTTAGGTGGTGCTTTTTATTTTTTAAGGTGAATACTATTATTTTCCTTCTTGACAATATCTCAAAAATGCTGTTTCCCTAAACAGGCAGGTATGTTTATTCCTAAAACGAGGTGCCAATCAACATGCCACAGATGAAGAAGGGAAAGACCCTTTGAGCATAGCTGTGGAAGCAGCCAATGCTGATATAGTAACCTTGTGAGTATTTCTTTTTACTTGAGTATTGTCCATACAATTATAGTCATCCCTCAGTTATCTGTAAGGTATTGGATCTAGGACCTCTGCAGATACCAATAGTAGAAATAATAGTGTAAATGAATCTCAGTCTCTTACAAAGAGAAATTCCCATGGTTGCCTTGAACTCCTAAGCTTTCACTGTGAATTTTTGATTTGCCATCTATCACCCCTCCCTAACCCCTGCCAAACAAAAAAACAAAACAAAACAGCCACACATACTTTCTCAAAGTCCTTTCCCCAATTCTCTGTAGAGCTAATTGTTATTGTAAAGGCTATTGTGGGTAAATTTAGAACTATTAAATCATTATACATTTAGAATCGGAGAAAGAGAAGTTATTAAAAAAAAGATAGGAATAGTATAGAGAAACTAATTCTGGGTGCAGCTTCCCAGGCAATTCCTATAAGTATCCTTTCTTTTTTTTGAGACAGAGTCTCGCTTTGTTGTTCAGGCTAGAGTGAGTGCCGTGGCTGCAGCCTAGCTCACAGCAACCTCAAATTCCTGGGCTCAAGCAATACTGCTGCCTCAGCCTCCCGAGTAGCTGGGACTACAAGGCATGCACCACCCGGCTAATTTTTTCTATATATATTAGTTGCCCAATTAATTTCTTCCTATTTATAGTAGAGATGGGGTCTCGCTCTTGCTCAGGCTAGTTTCAAACTCCTGACCTTGAGCAATCCACCCGCCTCGGCCTCCCAGAGTGTTAGGATTACAGGCGTGAGCCACCGCGCCTGGCCCCTATAAATATCCTTTCTGAAATCCAAATACCAAAGAAAGGCTTATGGAGCTATTGTTAATTCACTCCATTGTTGAGAGAGGAGATGAAGGGAATTGGGTATTTTAAAAATAGGAAAACTTCATATGAGATGCTGCAGTTGCTGTAGAGAACATGTCAGAAGAGGATGATGGAGGTCTGAAAAGGTAGTGGATATCTGGTGACCCAGAAAGACGGGCAAGCAGTACAAAGTAGGAGAAGAGTACCAAAGACAATATTTGCCTATTTCAAAATGTTGTTCATTTTTAAAAATAGGAGGAAATACTTGTCTTCATAACTCAGTGTTGCATGTCTTCTGCTGCCCGGATGAATAACCCCCCAAAAAAGAATGTATAACCAAGATGGTAACCCTGAGAAGATCTTGGTTACCTGTAGTCACTTGTTATATTTGTATATACAATTTATCACCAGTATTTAGATAGCACTGCTGTTTATATGTTTGGAACTACCTCACTTGAGGGTGAGCCAAAGTAAACTTATGACAGGGTCTTATAATAATTTCAGCAGCTGGCAGTTAAAACTTGACAGGTTACTATAGGAGTCAGGAATTTTCTGGAGTCAGGAATTTTCTGGAGTCTGGAGGAAGTAAGCTGCTAGAGGTATTACAGGGATCCTGCTTAAATAGAGCTGCAATGTACTTGTCAGGAATCTTTTATTGTATTTTCTCATGAGAATTGTATGAAGATGAGATGTAGTTATTTTTGTATCTCAGATTGATGAGACTGATAAAGTAAAAGCCGGTCTGCTTTAGTGCCAAATGAAAAAAAATTATATCAGTACATGTATTACCTGCTTATATATTTCATTTGTTTATGAACATTTATATTGTATGACTTCATCTAAAAGATCCTTTTATTTAATTTTAGGTTACGTTTAGCGAGAATGAATGAAGAGATGCGGGAATCAGAAGGACTTTATGGACAGCCAGGTCAATATTCTACTAATAACCATACTGAAATGCAATATAAGAAATGCATTCAGGAATTTATCAGTTTACAATTGGAAGATTCATAGTTCTTTAGCAAACTAATGTGATACTAGAGAGTTTTTATAACCTACTTGTAAATTGTGAGTTGTTAGCTATGTACTGTACTTCCTGAATTCTTGGGTGGCTAATCCTGGGCCTTTAAAAATCCATAATTATTCCAATTGCAGTACACATTTACTTGCTGTATTTAACTCTGGCTGCTGACTTCTTTATCTGCTATACACATGTCTTCCATATACATTCCAGTGAAGTGAATGGAATGGTAAAAGTATTCTTTATATATTTACAGCAGCAAAATAGTTGTTTTCTTTTTGGAATTCTTTTTAACTGTCAAGTGAATATAACAAAATTATTTTCTTTTTGTTATTCAGGGAATTTCTATAAATTGTGTTCAGGGAAAAAAACACACAAATCACCATGTTTCTGGCTATAAAAAGTCAGTATGGAAAATGCCAAGAAAAAGTTTATTGATGAGTTTTGTACTCTAGTCTAAAAATGAGTTGAAAATTTAAAATAAAAATTTACCAGTAGGTTGAAAAGTCCATGATGGGAGTGGAGTTAGTATAAAAGGTTGAAGGAAAAGGTCTTATTTCACCTTTAGCTTTGCCCCAAGCAATGGTACAATATCTGTTGGATAAGTGGAAGTATTTAGAACAATTTTTTGTGACCCTGATGGCAAAGTAGACTTACTAGATAAATCTCAACTCATGATCACCTCCTTTCATTTTGAGTAAGTAATTTTCACCTTTGAATCGAGATGTCAAGAAAAGGAAGAAATGTTGCTCACCAGATTCCTTTCTTTGATGAATACATTCTTCACAAGAAGAGAATAATTATTGGCTGTTTAGTTTCATGAATTTGAGTATATGAATTGCTAATTTACTTGTTATAAATTCATATACATATTAGTAAAAAATTTCAGGAACTTATGATTAAAATACTTGAGAATGTTTAGTTTACAATGAGCATATTTGGTTTTTTAAAAAATGAATATTGATACATTATTTTTAAGGTGGCCTGGTAGTATCATTTCTTCTTTTTGTTCAAATATGTTTTGAAATTTCTGTACTTTATGCTAGCTTCAGCCATTTATTTTGACCAGATTAATATATACTTAATATCAACTTGTGGCCATTCTTTTCTCAGAGGACTGTATTTACTATTTATTTTTGGCCTAATTTAATAGGGAACAAGTAAGATCTTTGAGAATAGAGGCACTTAAGCTAGATAATTCTAATCTAGGGTGTCCCACTTTAATCCTATGGATCATACGGTTATATTGATTCATGATATTCCAAGATGTAACAGTGCTGATTAAGGGTGAAGCTCTAGCATTAATTCTGGATTTCACCCATTTGTTTTAAACTTGAATGTTAGATTTTAAATAAGTTATAATTTTGTAACAGATATTCTTAAGTGATAGTATTACTAGGCCATTTTTGAGGCCTTTGTGTTTAAGCACTTTAAAATAAAAACTGTTCAAAGGATATGACCTGATATTTGTGAGATATGAGTGAACTTCAAGATTTTAAGTTAAACAAATTTTTTTCCCCCTGAAATTTTAAACTTAAATATTTGGTTAGCTGCTGTTTCCTTAAGGTGTTTGCTGATTAGTCAGAAGGTTGATGGTCAACTCTTCTCTGGAATTGGGAAGCTTGAAAGGACAGGGCCTCTATGTTCTGACCACCTCTTGTTCTACCCAAATTGCCTGGGCTTCTGCTGCCACCATTTAAGCGCATTCAAATGTCTCTTTCACTGTTGTTTATGTATAAGTATGTGTGTATATATATGTGTATATATATATACATATATATATTTCTCTATTGGTAGAAAAATAGATTTTTCCAATTTATTTTAATGAAGACTTGCAAAAAGTCTCATATTAAAACAAGCCTCTACCATTTTCAAATTTTAGTTTGGAGGTTAACAAATAGATCAGAATTCTGGAAATAGTATATCAGAATAAAATAGGTTTTTTGATCTATTTAAGGATCATTGTGAAAATAGATTTTTAACTCATTCAGAGGACCTAATATTTAACTTAAAGCAAAATAATTTTATGTTTATACAGGTGACATGGTGAAATGGCACAACAGTTGCTCTCTGGTTACTTTTCTTTTCCTTGATGAGTCTTTGGAGAGCAAACATGTTTGGCTCAGGCAGTGGATCTTTGTTTTTCTTCTGCTTATCACTGTAAATTTTTGTGTCATAGACTTTGGTTGATTGTTTTATTGGGATCCTTTTTTGGCTTGTCTTAGCAATAGAAAGAAAACCTTAGAACTCTGGGTAATTTTTAAATACAGGTATGTTTAATCTTTTGATAGTGAAGAGATCTATTATTTAAACAGATTCAGGTAATAATAGACCTATTTCTAGCAAACTCCACTTGTAAATTGTCTATGACCCTTAAGGACCTGCAAGGTGATGTAAAAGCACATGTTTTTTGAAGGGAGGATGAGTCCCTCTGTAGCAGTCCCTACAGCTCTCAGGAGGCCTGGGGTAGGTGAAGGAAACAGCACACCCCACTCTAAACTGTTGAAAACCAGTCTGGTGGTTCTTATAGTCTCTGGTTCTGTGACTCTTCTTAATCTTTGGCAGGTTCTCAGCCAGTTGAGAATCACTGTTTTAGGGACCCAGTAATGGTTATGTAAGTATACAGCAGACAAAAGTTGGGAATCACTGATTATCATTGATAATCAGTTATCAAAGGAAGCAGTTACCAGCCCCGCAGGGGCAGGGTCATGCATATGATCAACTGGGGGTGGGTCTTAGGTGCTGCTGTCCCTTTGAGGGAGTTGATTTCAAGAGCAAAATCTGTTTTGGTGGATATTCTGAATACCAAAAATTAAAAATGAACTTAACCTATCAGTGGAAACACAGTAGTCTACATTTTAAAAACTCAGAACTGTCCAGGCACATAGAAAAGTTAACTTTTTGAAGGGAAATAGAATGTGGTTAGATAATTTAAAGAATATGCATAGCATTACAAATATTGGGTGATTAGTTATTTACCATTTATAGTAAACTGTTAAATGTACTTCTGGGAACATTCCAGGGCAGCATATTCTGGGTGGTTGTTTATGTGTTCTAGTGTAGACAAATTATATTTGCCTTGGGAAAAATTCTAACTGATCAGAATTTAAATTTTAAATAATCACATTGAAGTTCAACTTGTGTTAGCTATATTAAATATCTTAGTCACTATTGTTATCATAACATTTGTTTGTGACAACATATTTTGAGGTCTAAGAAAGGTAGTATATTAACAGTGTGCTAATGTTTTGTTAGTAACTATGTAAACAGAAAGTTTTGTGTGTGTATGTGAAGGTGGAAACTTCCTTTTGTATTGTATTAACTTTTTTTAAATGTATTAAGTCAGTGAAACCAATGATTATTATAGCACCAACACTTTTCCTTCAAAGAAGCATTTAATTCAGTGAATGAAAGCTCTTACAATTTGTTTTGCATGGTGCAATGGTTCTAAAATGTACTTGCGTTATAGGTACTAGATGATTTAAAAACAAAAACTGTAAAACCACTTAAAAAATCTCACAGCTTGTTATACAAAATATGCATTGCTAATAGTAGAAGCCATATATTGCCATTGTACTGTTGTTAATACTTAAGAATGCTCATCTGGTGCTATCTGTAAACTATTTGGCATTAGCATCTGCTAGATCCTTCCTATTTCTTCTTGAATGTATAATGTGTGCCTTTTAAGTTACTTCTAGTGTTGAATGGTAAAATCAGTGTGGTATTTTTGTATTATAATCTGCACTTTACACTTCTTGGAAAGTAAAATTCCAGACTATCCAGTTTAAATAGTATTTTAAAAATATTTATAATGTTTACAATAAATATTTTAAATATTTTAATTCAACATCTAAAAATAAGAAATGATTTAAAATATTTTGTATTTATTAATTGCTATTTAATATTGTTCTCTTCTCAGTTTATTTTATATCTTTTAGAATGACTAAAAATGGAAATAGATTGTAGTATTCTTTTGATATGGCAGTAAACTTTTAAGAAATCATGGGTATACTTGGATTGTCTTGCCAGTTTTTCCAGTATATCAACCTTTATTTTTGTTTTAGTTTTTATTTTACTATCTGAGTTAATTGTTATTCTCAGCCAACCTATTAATATTCTTTTCTTACTGTTTTTTCTTTTTAAAATAGATTGATTAGTTAAATTAATTGATTCAGGTCGTGAATAAATTTCCAGGGCTAAATGAAAACTATATAGAGATTTTAATAAGTTGCTTTTTACAAAGACTAAGTATTAAAAGTGACTAAATATTTAAAGTATTAAAATTTTTTAATTGAAAATCTTGGGTTATGCTGTTAGATCTTTTTACTAGATCTTTATCCCTGTCCCCCAACTTTTTTCTAATTCTCTAGCTTTTGGTATGGCATCTCTTGCCTCAAAAATCTCGCTTTTTAAAAACTGACAAAACTTACTGCACTATTAACAACTGTAGCAATGAGTTTGTTATAAGATGGATGCAAGGTATCTAGTGGGAAATAATTATAAAAACATGTTCTAACAATAGTAATCTAAAACAGTATTTAATGGTCTAAATCTTGAGAACAGAACTATGCCAAGCATCTGTATAAAGCTAATGTTTAGCAGGAAGCATTCATGATGAATGATTTATCTTGAAAATAAGATTCCTTTGTCTGAGGAATTAATCTGTTGGTGTGTATATATATATATTTAATTTCTCATGGCAAGAAAAATAGTATTCAGTCTGCTATAATATCAATATCTATAGTCTACTTCACGACAATCATATTTGTACATATATACGTATGTTTATTACTCTAACAGATGTCTTTGGTATTTATTCCCATTTTGTCAGAGCATTCTTGCTCATATGGCCTACAGTAAACAAAAAACTTATGATTAAATGTGAAACTATCATTTATAGTCATTTTCTAGGCTTTTTATTTTATCAGTTTAGTAAGCAGTGGATTAGATGCTTTAGTTTTAATTAAACATTAAAGTTTGAGTAAAGAATTACTTTTTCACATTCTGTTTTAAGTTTCTTTTAATTAAAATATTTCTCCCACCTGATTATCAGTTTGTCTTGTTAATAACTTGCATCCATCAAGAATATTAATATTTGGTTTTGTTCATTTCTTTTGCCCTTTATGAAGGGAAATATTTATTTAAAGAAGGTCTTGTTTACTATACCTCATTTCGAATGACTTTTATTTCTCATGTGTTAATAAATGTATTTCTTTACATTGCTTTAAACACTTGCATCTTTGCTCTTTTCTAACTCTGAATTTTCCTCTGTGGCTGCATCTGAGGTGCTTTTTTCAGGTATAGTTTTTTTTCTTTCATTATATAATTTTTCAACATTTAAATTTAGTTGGCCTTTTTTCTTCCAAAAATGCTCATCTGAACAAAAGTTTAAAGTGATGAATTATAAAATAGTTACTAGTCATAAAAAATGAATGTTGTCTTATTAATACTTAAATTGTATAAATTTTAAAACTGTCCTTATTTTACTTTCATGCAGGTGATGAAACTTACCAGGACATTTTTCGTGATTTTTCCCAGATGGCATCCAATAATCCAGAGAAACTAAATCGTTTCCAGCAAGATTCACAGAAATTCTGATTTTTTTTTAAAAAGGGGGAAATATGAAATTTGGTGACCCCTACACAGCTGAAAATTCAAAAATTTTTACTGCTTTCATTCTACTTAATTTTGGTAGATATTGAGTGGTTTGGAAAGAAGGTACCCATTTATTGATATTTTTATAAATTAAAACATAGATCTCTAGTAGTTGGGAGAGGAACCTACTTTAGGACCTCTTTTATTTTAAAAAAGCCTATTTAAAGGGCTATTTCTTATAGATAAAAGTTGAATCTACATCTAGGCCAACTCTAGGTTACAAGATGCTCAGAGGTTAGACAAAATTTCATTTTTTGCCAATGGATGGTGTATTGATTTTTTTTTTTATGCATCTTGCCCAGGATCATTCATTCAAGCATGTCTTCATCAAGTGGGAGCCAACTGTCCTGTCTCCCTCAAGAATGTGTCTTTTCTTTAGCTTCCCTGATGATTTAGAAATAGGTGTGTGCATGTGTGTATGTGTGTGTGTATGTGTGTGGTAGCTTAGCCATCATACACATAATAAATGATTTAATTATTAGAACTAGAAAATTCTCATTTGCTCATAAATACAGTTATATCCTTAGATAACATGTTATTGTCCAGTACTTTAACATATATATAATGGCTTTACAGGTCTATAGTTCAGTCCTTTAGATTTATTCCATCTTATGAGGCAAAAAGAAGCTTTTACTTTTTCAAATCACCAGAAGGATCCCAGTTCAGAAGTTGTACTTCTTCGTTGGGTTGATTTCCTAAAATTTTGACAAATTTATTGTTGTAATAAAATTGTGTTTCAAAGGTTACTTGAATGTTGCAAAATTATGCTTTCATCAAAACTTAATTTTCCAAGAAAACATTGATTTATAAAATAACATAGGACATTTTTATATTTGAAATTTGTCCTTTTAAAGATACATTTTTTTCTATTGCTCCTAGTGAAAGAAAAATCTCTCTGTACAAAAGAAACCCCTATTTTTCTCAGTTTATACTAAAATATACAGCAATAAATTGATTTTTATTTTTTTCTACATCCTGTGTACTTATGCACAGCGTACATTCTTTTAAATTATATCATGTATATAGCTTTAGTATTAGGTTACATGAATCACAGGTCTTTGAATTCTAAAATATTATGGATATACTTTTTACCACTTATATGCTACAAATTAGTCTGATTCCATCTTTGATTGACATGTCTTGACTACAAATAATTTGCCTTATGGTTCTTTTACAGTGTTGTCAACAATTAAATTTAATCTTCTTTTAGAAGTTATATGTAAGTAATATTTTGATACTCTTTATAAATAAAAGAGGTCTTTAAATTTATAAAAGAGGAATTATATTTAATTGGATATATAATAAATTTTCTAACATTTCACTCCCAATAACTAGAGTTTTATAAATTGATTAAATATTATATCAGAATCCATCTAAACAGAAATTATACTGAAATAAGTTCACATCACAAAAAGTGTTCCAGAATTTGGCCAAATTGCATGCATGTAATGTTTATTTAATAATAGTCATTATATATTATATGAGGATAAAAAATATATTTGTAAATTATTTCTGAGGAAATGCTAACTTCTAAACATTCATTGTATTTGAATTACAACATTAGGAACATTAAATCTTTCCTGTTTCACCTCAAAGTCACAGATCATCATTAGGTACTTTTTTTACATCTTTATCTAAAGACAAAAGTCTGATTTATAATTTTTATTAGAGTATACTTTGTTATTAATTGTCCAAAAAGGTCAAGGAAAAGAAAGGTGTTAAAACAGAAAGAAAGAAAAAGAAGAGAAAGCCTCATTTTTCCTTGATAGTGCCTATTCCTGTTCTAATCCTAGGACTTCACTCCTAAAGATCCTGACCTTTATTTGAGCAAGTCTGGGCAGTTTTCCTTTTGGATCTGGCCATTGGTGCTTCTAATCACTTCTAGGATCTCTGTGGCTCTGAAGGCAATTCCTTATGACACTCTTACCTCCTGTGGCTTGAGTCATGAATTGTTAATGTAGCAGTAATTAGTGTCTACTTAAACTTAATGGTTAGAGATATATTTGAAGTGCCCTAAAGATGATCATGGTTCTGAATATCTTCAGAGAAAGCTAAATCTTTAATATTGCAGGGAGGCTAGCAGTATAAAAATACATTTCTGTGGCTTGATTCCTTGAATGTGCTGAGACCTAATTTGGACTAAATTTGGCAGAAACAATGGAGTTTCTTGCTGTTGCAAGGCTTTAAATTAATAGTTACGAGGTAGGTTGGCTCTTAGGTGAATTTAGCTGCGTCAACTAATAGCTTTTATATAGTATAGAACAAATCTGAGTTTTGTTATGCTGTGAATTATTCAGTGCATTGTGAGAAATTGTAGAATAAGCAATGTTAATTGTACTCTTGGGCTTCATTAGTCAATGTGATTGCCCTTTGTTTTCTTTCCATAACTGATCTGCTATTATTAGTTTCTGATTCCCTATTACTAATCTGTTAGGTCATTATCATTAGCTCACTAACTTAAAAATTAGATTAATATCAAAATAAGAAGGGCAGCACTAACTATGAAGAGTTCATAAAATGCAGTTTCATGTTAGAACTAGAATAAAGGTAATTGAGCAGTTATTTGTAATGCTTCAATGCAACATGTTTAAGATTTCTAAGATTTCAAAAATCACCTTTAATGCAATCTTTAGAAATTCAGAAATTGCCTGGGATTTACTACATTACAGTGTTTGCCTAATTTATACTGGTTTTCACTGTAGATTTTCATGAACTTTGGTGTTTACTTTCCCAGACATATAGGTTTAATTTGTAATATGTACTTTGGTTCTTCACGAGTGCATTTGGAAAAAAAAAAGTTATACCTTACTAGTCTGACCAACTTAGGTTTGTGACATGTTAGCAGTATTTAAAAAATATATTTTATGCATGTTAATTGTGGTCACAATAAATGAAATTGTGTTTAAAACTAAATTTACTACCCATTTTGAATAATCAAACATTCCAAGATCACTCTTAGATTGTCAGATTAATACTTCTGTATGATAGCACTTTGGACCATGGACATGAGCTGGAAAATGATATATTTTTATAGAATTGTATGTCCAGAATGACTTTAGAACTGCATGATATAGTGGAAAGAGCACTGGACTAGTAGTCACTACCCTTTTTGGATTCAAGGCTCCTCACAAGTAAAATGAATGGAATGAAACAAGGTGAAAGTATAACAACGTCCCTTTGTATACCGTTTTACTACTACAATGTACTTTGGCATTGCTTTATCTCACCTTATGTCTCACAGTAGGAATTCTGAGATCTTATTACCCTCTGAGCTCCAATATTGTCTGCTTTTTTGATCCTAGCGTGTTCCTCTTGTTGTACAGAGGCAGTTCTCTCCGTTTGCTAGTTGGTGGCAGAGCTGACACCATAACCCAGGTCTGACTACTACTCAGAGGCACTTTACTTGTATCATGAAATGTTTTGAAATCATTGTAAAGCAGCAAAATCTGATAATGACTGCCAGCTTTCCTTGTGTTTTGATAACAAAGACTCCAAATATTCTGGAGAACCTTAATACAAGCTTTGAAGGAATAGATTGGGATTTGAATACATCAAATTGCAGGAAATTTGACATTTTTGCAATAAGAAACATTAATGACAGCAAAACATCATAAAGATAATTTTAATTCACTATATACATATCAATTTCTTGATGCTTCCAAATAACATCTATAAATACAGTTTTATGGATGTTGTTTTCTGTTTATATAAACTTATCCACTTAAAATGGGATCATCGGACAAAGCAAGGTTTGACTAGATAAACTTTTCTCTGCATTGGTCTTTTCACTATGTTATTTTCTAAATTTTCTTATTTTTCCTTAACCTCCATATTCCCCACAATTTGGGTGTTAATTTTAAACAGGGAAAGCTTGCTACATTATAAAGATTGTTGGCACCATTTATTACACAAAGGCTAAAGGTTAACTTTTGGAAATGATGAGCTACTTTTCTATATGTGTTTACTTGTGCTTTGTGATATTTCTGGATCATTCCAGTCATAAAGACTTATTACATGTAATATTTCTTGCTACCTGTGAAAAGGTATATTTTAAAGAATGTATAACCAACAGTCCATTCACTTTTTATTAGTACGTAGAGGATTTGTATCTAACTCATGAATGTAGTTTTACTGTAGTTTGTCATTGTAAATGGAGCAAAGTACATTATGTTTGTAGTTATTCTAAAATGTACATTATGTAAGAATTGTAAATATTATACTTGATTAAGTACTTTGTATGCTGAAAAATTACAATAATAAGTCAATAAAAATCTCACCTCTGGCATAGTTCTTTTATGCTCAGACTTCTACATGTGAAATACACTGCCAACCTATCTGTTAATGTGTTATATTTAAGGTACTGTTAATATATTCCTTCCCAGCCATTTGAAATTGATCCACATTGATCCTATTTGTGATTACTTCAATCAAGAAATCTATTTGCTCTTTTAAGTATTTTCTTCTGTCTGAATCCAGAGCTGTGATGATGGGCCTTAATACATTGACTAACAACCTCAAAAAGGCTTTTTTTTTTTGCCTTTGCTTTAATTTTTTTCCATTATAATTTAAATACCTGTTAAAGATCCTAATCTATGCTACACATTCATACTTTTAGTAAACACACAAACCAAAACATGTTTTTATTAGAATTGGGATTGAAGGGATGGAAGATTGAAAAAACAACTGGAAATGAACTGCCTGCTTTTGGCTTTCCTTTAAAAGTTAATTGAAAGCAGACACATAAACTTTTCAGTGTAACTTGCTTTATTCAGCTTCATTTCACTTTCAGAATAGTTCTGTGAAGAAGAGAACCCACATTAACAGTCAATGGATGTTTTAAATGAAAACAAAAAGCCTATTTTATTGCAAAAGCAATGTTTTATCATTGTAGAAAAATGTTTAACCATAAGTAAAAAGGAAGACAGTAATCCATAATTCCATTATCTACCTCTTTGGTCCAAAATGGAAGGTGGCTATTTAAATTAATGAAAATTAAGCAGAATAAAGAGTTCAGTCCCTCAGTCGTACTGCCACGTTTTAAGAGCTCAGTAGCCACATGTGGCTAGTGACTATTGTTTTGAACAGGACAGATTGTAGAACATACCCATCTTATAGGAAGTTCTGTTGGGTAGCCCCGAAGGAGCTTACTTTTTTGACACATATCCTTCTAGATTTTTGGGTGTATATGTTTATACATTTATAAATGGGATCATACTGTTTGTTACCCACTTCTTTCATTTACTACAGGAGAGTATTTTTAAAAATATTTTTATTTTGGAAAATTTCAAACATGTACAAAAGTAGAGAGAGGATAACTTCAATATCTATATTGAAGATATAGATATGGCTAACATTTTTTTTATTTATACTCCCACCCAATTTTCCCCATCCCTGGATTTTTTTGAACCAAATCCCGCACATTTCATCAGCAAATCATTCAGTTTGTATCTCTAAACTCTAAAAGACTTTTAAAAATTCTAAAATAACATTCCTTAAACTATAAAACTATAAAATGAGTACTCATACTTTTCCAATTGTCTCAAATGTGATTTTTAACACATTAACTGCCATGTGAGTTGTATTTAACTCATGGGAGTTTGGAGCCTGGGGCCACGTGAAGCATATGTAACTCACGTCTCTTCACCTTGGAAGCTTCATGAACTATATTTCAAGTTGCATATAATTCATGCACAGAAAAACAATAAAAAATAAATTTTTCATTAAATTAGAAAGGATCATTTTTTTTTCAAAGTTTTAATTCTATTTTTGTAATAAAACACCTTGGCCCCATGGAAAAAAATTTTTTTTCTAGTGTGTCAGTCAGTGTGTTAAAATAGGTTGAGCGTGGTGACTCACACCTGTAATCCCAGCATTGTGGGAGGCTGAGGCAGGAGGATGGCTTGAGGCCAGGAGTTGGAGACCAGTCTGGGCAACATTGTGAGACCCTATCACTACAAAAAAATTAAAGAAATTAGGCGGGCATGGTGTCATGAGTCTAGTCCCTGGTACTGGGAAGGCTGAGGCAGGAGTTTGAGTTTACAGTGAGCTATGATTATGCCACTGCACTCTAGCCTGGGTGACAGAGTGAGACCTTGTCTCTATAAAAAATAAAAATAGATTGTTAAAGTCAGAATTCATATAAGTTCCATATATTGCAGTTGGTTAATATGTTTCTTAGTCTCTATAGGTTTTTCTCCATTTATTATTTTTTAAAATTTCTACTTGCAGTTTGTTGAATATATCACTTTTAATGACTATTATTCTTATTTAACCACTTTATATAAGGATGATCATTTGATTCCATTTTTTTTCATAAACCTAGCTCTGCTTTATCCTTATGGCAAATATTTTAGTACATTCTTAATTATTTCCTTAGGATTAATTCCTAGAAGTGAAAATACTGGCTTAAGGGCTGGATATATTTTTGAGGCTCATTCAATGTGGTGAGGTGGTGTGTTAGGTACTGGGGATTATTGTGGTTAAAAACAGAAGATAAACGTGCATCCTGTTCTCCTAGAGTTCTTGCAATGGAGAAAGATGGGCCTAGGATATAAGTAGCCCTTATAGAATTGTTGAGGATAGGAGGTGTTTAGAGATCATGTAGGCAGTGACATGCAAGCCACGGTCTGAAACAGAGAGGTTGGATAATATATCCAACTTTACAGATGTGGAAATCACACAACAGGAAAAACCAATTACCTATAATCTCTAGTCAGAAATCAGAGAACTTGGCCAAAGTTAAGTTAGAACTGAAGGGTTATTGTACTTACCAGAGTTCTTTGTCTCCTTAGCTATGATATGATACACCCAGATATATCTATTTTAAGCTGAGAAAATAATACATATTACCATCTGGCACACTACATACTGTTTTTTATTTATCTATTTTCCCCTTGCTCTATGTATGAGGTCAAGGATTTTTGTTTTTTCATTGCTGTATCCTCAGGTGCTACTAGTATGCTTGGTATGTAGTACTCAGTATCTATTGAATAAATGACTAACTGACCATCTTGAACCTACTGTTTTAGTTTTTAGCCACCAATCTACTTCAGAAAGCTGCAACATTAATTTTTCTTTATGGGCAAAGAACTGGGAATGATAAGCTGCAACTTGGAGATAAGACCAGCCTCATGAGTATTTTTTGACTTCCTATGTAAAACATAAATGATCTTGTTACTTATTTCTTATCCATAAATTCCTGGAGTAGCGATCTTATAAAGGTTTGAAAGATAAAACATTAATTCTAGAATGAATGGCAGAGAAAAAAGCCACCTTATTGATGGTGTAGGTGGGGGACTAAAAGTCACAATTCCAGAATTATTTCTCCTTTATTAATGAACAATAATTAGAATGTAATAATAAGTTATACTATGCTGCCTGGAGATTCTGTGGAATATATAAAGCCTTAACATAGATTTGGGGTTTAGTATTTGTAAATACTCCAGGAAAGCTATGGTTGCTAAATTATGTTTTTGTGTATGTTGGATATTTAGGTATTAAAAACAAAAAGTTTAGTGTCTCTAGCATAGTTTATATTTATTGTTCACTCAGTACTAGGCATTGTTCTGCTTGTTATCTACTGCCTCTCATAACCCTATGAGGTGTAGATACTAGTATTAACCTCATTTTCCAAATGGGTGTAATTGTCAGGGTAATTAAGAACCTGCCTAAAGTCTAACAACTTGCTGTGGTAGAGTTGGAGTTCCAGCCTGGATGGTCCACTCTAGAGCTTAACAAGTGTCATATGCTGAAGGTTGTGGTAAAATACATTTCAGAGCTTGCATTACTGCTTTTAGAGCTAATCTTGGCTGAAGGCGTGGGCTTTGGAAGCAGTAAGACTTGAGTTGAGATCCTGCCTCCATTACTTACCAGCCAACCAAGTTTGAGTAATTTTCTATACCTCAATTTCCTCGATTGTAAAAACCTCTATCTCTTAGAGTTGTGAAGATCAAATGAATTACTCAGGTGTGGTATTCTGCTATATATATATATATAAATATATATATAAATATATATATATATTTTTTTTTGGCAAGGTGAGTAGTTTGAGTTGAACTTGTTGCAGGTTTGTGTCAGAGGTCCGATGTTTTTCAGAAAAGTGTTGCTCCAATTGAGAAGGTCAAGAGTTAAAAATGAGATGAACTGTGGTTCTGGGAAAGGTGGGCTTCACGCACACTTGGAGAAATAATGGTATGGCTCATAAACGGGTGAGAGATCAATTTGTATGCACATTTGTCCATGCATTTTTCGCCTCCATCTTTTAAGCATGCAGACCACTTGTACATGTTTACTTCAGAACAACTGGTGCACCATCAATTCTTAGAAGGGTTATTAGGTTAATGAGTTTTTATTTATCTAGTTGGCAGTGTTCAACTATCTGGGGTCAACACTGCGACTGGCTAGCTGTGTGACCTTGGGCAAATTAACTCAGTGTGCCTCAGTTAAGAATTCGCAGAACTACCTGGGGTATATTAAGGCTCTTGATAAAGTGTCAAAGTCTGTTTCGAAAATAAGGGTGTTACTACTCAGGGGCTCGCTGAACTACCATGGCGTTTTGGGCAGCGGGGTCCCCCTGCTGGCCACATCCCTTAGCTTACCTCGGGTCTGTGTCAGAGGTGTCAAGTGCGGTGGGAGGCGCCGCGAGTGTCATTACCTCTTTAGCGTGAAAGGGCAAGCAGCTTGCCACTTTAAATTCCCTATCTCCAGCTAGTCTCCAAGGTACGAAGGGAGTGGGGGAGAGGACTTAAAGCCTCCAACAAATTAGGAAGAAAAGATACAGAAATAAAAGTTTTCCCTTTTCCTGCGTCCAGTTTACCTTTTTGCTAACCAAAGGTCCTGCATTGGGTCGCTTCAGTCCCTCTCCAGGATCAGCTTCGAGATCTAGCCTCTGGGGCGGGGCACGTAGGCGCGCCTGTTCTCACAGGCTGCACAGCGGGCAGGCCTTCCGTCCACCTGGGGTCGCAGCCCGCTCCTCCCACGCTGGGCCTCTAGACCCCACGCGCGGTCCATCCGGCCGGTAATCCTTCCGAACCTAGGACCCAGCGGCTGCCGACAGCCCTGGCCCCGCCTCTCCGTGCATCAGCGCCCGCGATTGGCTCTGGGTAGCGCGGCGCCGCCTCCGCCATGGCCGCCGCCTGCTGCCGGGGCTACTAAGTGGCTGCCGGGGTACTGGTCGCCGCTGGCGCTTCCTGGCGGCCGGGACCGCCGGCTCGTGGCGCATGGGCCTGCTCCGAGGCGGGCCCCCATGCGCTCGGGCCATGGCGCGCCTGGGCGCTGTGCGCTCCCAC